CACTGGAGGTCAGTGCTGGTACTATACACAACTGGCCCCTTCAGAAGCGTCACCTGCATAAGACCTTATGAGAAGGAAAAGAACCATTTCATGTTAAAACTTTCCCCATCTGCATTTAAGGAAAGAGGCCCACGGGTACCATTTGTTGTTGCTAAGGAACGCAGTGAGAGTGGAGTACAAATTCCTGTAAATTGTGCATCACGTTTCAGAAGAGAAACATCTGATAACAGCATAGTACTAGGACTGAAACCAAAGCAAAAAGGCTGGGGTTGGGGGTGGGAGGGAGTCTCTAGTCTGGTTCAAAATGTTCTTCTATCTTTCTGTGTATGAGAAAGAATTATTGAAGACATCTCTTCAAAATACTGTGTTCTAATTAGAGCAATCTTTGATTGTCTTTTCCTTAAAACACTTTAATGAAAATCTTTAAAGCTGTAGTCTACTCAATGTTCATAAACAGTGTTTAGTGGATTACTGCTTAAAAAGGGACCTCCCCAACCTTTCAGTTCTGTTAATCCTTTATCTATGTGGAATAATTTCTTTAATTATCTGCATTTGGTCGCTTATTTAAATCAGCCCAATGCACACATGAACAAGCATGTAACTAGAAACAACTTTAAGTTCAAGCTGAAGCACATGCAAAACAACATATTTGTCTTTTTCTTTCTAAGACCAGGTTCTTGCTTATAGGGCTCCTGGTCACTACACGTTCACTAAGACACAGGAATACCTAGCCTGTGATTTATACAGGTTAGGTTAGCTTCCCTTCCCCGATGCCCAACCTAATCTAGGGCCTGGCATACATGAAACTTGACATCTTGTCTGCTGGAAACCCAGTCCTTGAACAGTTTTTCGCCTGCTTAGCCGTTAAGTACATATGTTTGAATTACGCTAAGACTAACGAAAGACACACTTCATAGGGATCTGAACTCACTGAGTGGTCTCACTGAGTCGTCTGAGGGGCCAGGGTGACCAGATTGGAAGGTCACTGCCATACCTGAAAAAGGTAATATATCAGATTACCTTAAAAAGGCTGAGCAGAATCTTTGACTCCCAAGAAACCTCTGGGGTGGGGGGACTTCATACTTGTATACAACAAACACAGTCTTGTTTTCCTGTACAAATGCACCTGCTTTGCTAACCTGCTACGTGACACAGAAGAGAGGTGCTGCACCGTGTGGGAGACCCTCTGCAGTGATAACTCAAAAACCCACCCATGCGTTTCTTGTGTGGATTCATCATCCCTCCAAGACACAAAACAGGACAAGGACAAGAAGAAGAGGAAAAATTAAAAAAAGAACGACAAGAATTGGGTTTGCTTCACCCCACCCCGTCTGTGGATTTCTGTTATGTGATAGCTAACTATGGCTTATGGAGTTTAAACAATATGACATGTACCAGTTCAATCAAGGGTTGTTAAAATGAACAATCTGCTCCTTTTAGAAAGCACAACTAAAAGAATAGGACACACAGAAGAAATGTTTTCAGTGGATACTGAATAGCAACAAAAACTCCAACACAGAAAAGAGAACTGAGTGAACTCTTGTGTATGAAGTTCCAGAAACAGCACATGACCCAAAACTCTAAGACCAATAACATGAGGGGTTTTTTTTGTACAAAATAAATTATTGAAAGTGGTCATGGGATTCCTAGCAGTCAGAGATACACAGTTTCCCAAGGAAAGTTCATCAGGGAATGTATTATTTAAGACTGGATCATCACAATGCTATTTTTAATCCTATCATTTTGCTGCCAAAATTGGCCATGGCAGTTGATAGTGGCCATGAGAAAAATGGTGTTCTTTCATGTAGTTCACCCACTGTCATGAGAAGGGCAATGCTTTCAGTTAGTCAAATGTTTTGGTAGATGTGAACTGTATTCAGAAAGGGGAAACTTCTTACTAACTACCTAATAAAAAGGAAGCTGATATCTACTGGGTACATAGAAATGAGTTTCCCTTTAGTTGGCAAAGAAAAGCTACCTCACTTTAATGAGGCCAATGCAAATGCAAATGCCAACGCAAACTCATTGCGTTCATCACCGTGATGAACATTCTTGAGAGCAGCAGAGCTGCCATTTTTTGACCCCCCCCCCCCATTCTCTGCTTCTTCTGGGAGTCAGACTGCTGCAGTGGGCATCTGGGAAACAAGATTCCAGGCAACACTCTGCACGTGGACCACGGGAAAGAGGTCTACAGAATCTGTCACAAGATTGATCCTTCAAAAAACAAAACAAAAACAAACAAAGAAACAAAAAACCCACCCACATCTGGAAAGCATCAGGCATGGCAGTCAGCAGCTCTGACTTTAATGCACAGAGAAACCCAAGGTTCTGACTCAGTGGCACTAGGCTGGAGCCTGAGAGTCTCCACCCAAGAAGGTCCCAGGTCTCATTTTCTAGAATAGTTGCCAGCTCCTTTTTCTAACTTTCTTGCCTTTCTCTGGACAGCATGCAAGCCTTATTCAGACCTGGGTATAAGCCATATTCTGCCTTATATCCAATTATTTCTTTACTCTTTACTTAATTTGCAGGTTCTGGGATTCTCTAGCAGGAGCTGGTCCTTCCAAGGACTATTTTCTCTGTAATGAAACATGAAACACAGTCTTCCCCAGCGTTGGAGCACTCTGTCTTTGAAGCAGAAGACAAAAAGTAATTTCAAGTCTAAAGTGTCTGTAAATGACCACAGGAAGTTATTCCCACCATTCCCATCATTTTCTCATATCAAGAAAACAGGCTGTCTGCTGAAACTTAGCTATTGTTATTAAAACATCACCGCAATGTGCAACATACTAGAGATACAATCCTAGCTTAAGGTTAAAGGGAAATCTATATGCTAAATGCCTAAAACAAAAATTCAAGTTAATAAGACACATTGGAAACCATAGGCTGATAGACCAATCACTACAAACTCTCAATTGCTACCACTTTTATTCCAAAATGTTTACATATGATTCTATTTTCTGATACACAGTCTTTTCTTGCCAATTCGGTTCTTTTCCAGCATAGTCATCCATTTATGGTTGCTCTGGAAACTATTAGACATTTTCTTTTACCATCAGCCATTTGTGGTTCTTTGTGACTTATGTTTGCTATAAGAGGCTTTGTCAAAAAAAGTTTTTATCATCTCTTCCAGTATGCCATTGTGGTTTGGCTTCATAACATGAAGTCTATGCCTCAGATACCTGCGGACCACAAAGATAGGCCCTACAACAAAAACTTGATGATGAACACAGAAAAAGGAGATGCTTCATTTAAAAAGAAACCTCAGTCTTCTGCCTCATCAACACACTGCAACCTGACAACAGAGGTCAGGCTGCATCTGAAGCTCCCCCAGAAGCAGACGGTCCTGCTTCCCACATCTTTCTGATAGTCAAGACCACACACTTACTGCCTTGAGTTTCCTTCAAGAAGAGAGAAACAGATTGATTTTTTTTCATAAAAATATGAAATAACAAAACCATTAAATTGTTTTACTTTGGCTTTAGAAGGCTTCTTCTGGAGCCTGAAGTCCCCATTACAGAGGCTGAACGACCAGCCACCTACTTAACTAAACATCTAACAAGCTCAGTTTCCATCCTTCAGCCAACAATCTGATCATGTGGGAAGCCAACAAACGAGCGATTCACAAAGGACATGTGAATTTCAGGCACGTAAACTTGGATATTTCAGTTAATTTTACTTTTAAATCTTGAACCGTGCCAACAATATTTTGTCAACTTTGGCCAATAAGATCAGATGTTCACATCAACCATCTATTTTTCTTGGCTTTTTCTGTTTGGGGCCCATAAATATTAGCACACCTTGCAAACTGTAGTAAAAACATAATGTGTTTCTAGATATTTGATTCACCTGTAGTCAATTATAGACTTTTTGCTCCTGTTAGGTGCTATAAAAAGTTAGTCGTTCTCCTGAGACTATCCAAGGCAAAACTAAAATGAAAATCTTTTTCATTAAAACAAAGTCTTTAAAAAAATGTCAGACAATGATTGCTGACTTTTTTGTAACTTAATTATTTTAGGTATAACAAGCCTGAGTCTGCTCCCTATGCCCCTGTCCGGAACCAGGAAAAAGCTTAAATCTCATGGTAAAATAATGGAAGTTTGATTTCCCAAGATATCAGAAAATTATCACTCCATAGATGCTCATCAAAGCTATGGATACTAATAATTTCAACTTAAGTCAGGACCAGACACTCCACAGCTAGGTGTTATTATTTCTTCCGCAGACACCCTAGATGCAAGTCCACTTAGCAGTGGAGATCACAAAACAATGTAGATTGTATGTAGAGATAAGTAAAGGATATTAAAATGGATGTTAGCTTCCGAATCATGTGTGAGTTACAGCGCGCAGTCTGGAGCCCCTGCAGTCTAGCCGACGGAAAGAACACCCACAGCCTGTCCTCCAGGGTGCACACACACCATGCCCAGTGGGACTCTGGCGCAGACTGGAGTCCACAAACATCCATGCATGTGAGCTTACCTTGTTACAAGCTTAGCTATAATTTCCAGGAAAGGGGGCTGTATTGTTTTTCTTTGGGAAAATGTTCCCAAGTGAGTCAGAAAAGGTATGCCTGCGTCCTCTGGTGGAGCCTGTTTGACTAGTTGGACCCTCTCAGTCATTAGTTCGCCAGAGGAGCTAAGGATATGCAGGTCAAGGGAGAAGGCCGGAGGTCTGGTTCCTACACAGGACCCCACACATCTGCAACAAGCTACTCCGACTTTAAGTAACACTGGGAGTCAGTGAAGGGGTACGGTTTAGCTCCAAATCCTAGGGGATCAAAAAAGCTGGACCTTTGCTCTTTCACAGCCTGCGGGCAGGAGCTAGCACAGTGTTGGCAGAGTGGGATCTAACCAGAGGCAGGGGCTCAGGGAGCAAAGCTATAAACTTGATTTTATTTCATTCGCTCCATAGCTTACTTTGACCCAGGATCCACTCACCCCCAACCTCTGCATCTCAGTCTTAAGAGCAAAGCCCAGACTAGTTTCAGCCAGACATGCACCTACCCAGCCTCCGTTATCCTGGATCCAGTTGTGCAGATGCCGGTTCAGGTACTCAGTCATCCACAGGGCGATGTTGTCCACCAGGGGTGACATCTCCCTGTTGACGCTCTCCACACACATGACCCCACCGAACTCAAAGAAGGCCACAATCCTCCCCCAGTTCACCCCATCCCTGAAGAGTTCCTCCACCACCGTAGCAAAGCGTCCCCTCGCGGTGAAGGGCGTCAGGTGCAGCTGACTGGACATCTCCGCGAAGTCGCGACGGTAGCGACGGGAGAAGTCATCCCCAGCCCGGCGGAGAGTCAGGTGGACCACAGGTGGCACCGGGCTGAGCGCAGGCCCAGCGGTGGCGACTATGGGCCTTAGTGGCGACGTCCTGGCAGCCATGTCCCGGTGCACAGCGGGCGTGGGGTTGCTCTCAGGCTGAAAGGAGAAGATGCCAGCGGTGGGGGCGGTCCCCGGGGGCACGGCGTCCGCATCTCCCGCATCCCACTCGTAGCCCCTCTGTGACAGTTTATAATGGATATACTTCATCACGATCTCCCGGTTATCATACCCTGTTCTCCCGGCTTGCGCCATCCTTCCCCCAAAAAAGCTGCAGGTACCAACAGAACTTCTAGTCCCGACTCCCGCCCCACGGCCCCAAAAGAAAAAAAGAAAAGAAAAAAAGGATAGTTATAATCCAGTTCTTTTATTGGATGTACTTTTGCATTCCTGGATGAGGGGGTGTCTTCAGTCACGCGGAACACTTGATTCTGGTGTTTCCCCCTTGGCATGAGATGCAGGAAATTTTTATTCAAATTCCTTTTGGCTCTTTATTTCATGAGGCACATTATTTATTAAGCTGCGTTAATATCCTTCTACTTCCTCCGCAATGCTGAAAGGTGAGGGGCGGGACGACCTAGCAAGTTAAAATCAGGTGTGTTCTCCTTTATATTCTCAGGGGAGGAAGGGCATATCCGCTACAAGTTACACGCTAAAGAGAACGAATTAAACTGTCTGGAAACTGAATTTGTTCGAATGCATTTAAAGTAAAAAAAGAAAAAGAAAGAAAAGAAAAATTGAAATGCGTCCGTTGAAAGTTACATTAAACCAAATTCCTGTGCAAAAAACTTACTGTATTTTTTAAGGACGGCATGATCTTCTGTCAAGTTTCTTTCTTTTTTTTTTGGTAAAACCCAAACAAATACATAAGGCAACGACACCATTGATCTTCAAAAGTCTCCTTGTATAAGCTTCTTTGAAACTTGCAATGAATCAGTAGTTGGAGGTGGGGGGCTAGGTGGAGTAAAAATCAACAGGGTTTCCAGATTGCGTCCCCACACTTCGGCTTCACTGAAAATGTTAACCCGTAGGAATTCCAACCGGAGATTTCAAGAGCACGACAGCGTTGCCAAAAAAGCAGCAGCGGCAGCAGATGAATTACAATTTTCAGTCCAGCATTTGCAGAAGTCCTGTGATTTCCCCCTCTTCTCGGCAATTTACACTCGCACACACACGCTCGAGCGCAGACATGGATCGGTAGCCACCGGATTGCTTCAGCCCTTCACGACAGAGACACGCGAGGGGGACGATGGAAGAGCGGAGAGGAACGGGGACGAGAATGCTCTTCTGATTAAACTCCGAAAGGCCAATACGTTTTCCGAAAAATGGGGTGGGGGGTGGGAGCAGCTTGATAAATACAAGCAGGGACGCGCCGGGCCGCCGTTGCCGAGTGAGCAGCCCGCGCGCGCTGTTTGTGGTGCGCTGCGGGAGAAGAGGTGGTGGGGGAGGGTTTGCCCCCCCTCTTTTTCCTAAAAAGGATGACTGCTACGAAGTTCCCCCCCCCCCACCGGCCCCCTCTTCCGCTGCACCTCACCGGCGCACCCCGCCTCCGGGTTGCGCACCCTTTCTCCTCCTCTGCTCCGTGCGGCGCTGGCGGCTGCGTCCTCGCGCTCACTCGGCGAACCCGGCTAGGCGGTGACTGCTGCGGCCGGGGAGGGCCCGGGCACCTCGGTGGCGGCCGCGGCGGCTCGGCGGGGACCCGGACGCAGGGCGGGAGGGCGGTCCGGGGAGGAAGGGGGCGGGCGCGGGGCTGGGGGCCCGGCCTCTTACTTCATTCTCCGCTGGAGCGCCTGGTTTCCTGTAGTACGTCATGTTCATTCAAAAAAAGAAGAAAGAAAGAGCCCTCCTCTGAGCGCCCGCCCGCCGCCTCCGCCCGCCTCCCGGGTTAAAGGCGCCGCGGCCGCCCGGGGGAGCGCGCGCCAGGCGCGGACACTAGCCTGGGTGGCGGCCACCCGCAGGCTACGCTGGATTCGGGACAGTGGGTGGCGCGGGCCTCCCGTGCTGCCGGCTTGGTGGGTGTGCGAGGGGCCTCTTAGGGTCTGTGGGACTGGCTGCTGGGTGGGCGCGCCCATAGCAAGGGCCGGGCAAGTGGCAACTCGCGTGGACCCTTTCTAACCCAATGTGGGGTGTGCACAATTGCATGAATCTTTTCTAATGTGGACTGTGTGCACAATTGCTTGGACCTTTTGTGAATGCATGTGTAATGCAAGTCACATGGCCCCCTTTCTGTGTGTGGTGAGTGTACAGTCCCACGGACCTTTCTGTGTGCAGTCCCAGGAACCCTTTCTAATCATCTGTGTACATGTGCACAATCAAATAGACCTTTTCTAACTGCCTGTGTAATATGTGCACAGTCACATGGCCCTTTTCTGTGTGTGATGTGTAGGCAGTCCCAATAGTGTGCACACACTATACTGGACCCTTTCTAACTGCATAAGCACTATGGGCACAAATGCATGGACCCTTGTGTGTGCACAGGTGCCAACTCTAAGCGTGTGTGTAGTGTATTTACAATTAAACTATTTATAGTGTACACAACTATGTGTAGTATGTGTATAAAATCATACAGACCCTCAGCTAACCATGGGTGTAGTGTACACAAACAAAAACATCAGGTTACCGGCTCTCAATGGTCAGAGATTACTGGTCCCAGAACAGTGGTACCTACCAGTGTGCTGCCCTCGGGCGAAGAGAGGTGATCCCTAGTACAATCTCCCATATATTAATTGCAAATGAAATAATCAGAATAATCAAAGTTAGATTGTTTCCTAGAGCTTCTGTGTCCAGGTACCAAAAGCAGTGTAATTTCTGCCTGAGTACCTCAGACCCATTGGAGGGCAGAAGTCCAGAACCAGCAGGGCATGCTCCTCAGAGGCTGAAGTCTACCGGTAGTGGATGGTCACTGGTGCTTCTTGGCTTGTTAAAGAATAGCCAAGGTAAATCCCAACTGGTAGGCTGACCTCATGAGCACATAGGTCCTTTTAACTTGCATCTCTGTAAACCTATCTTGGTGGCCAAGGGCAGACCTGACTCTCAGTGGACCAGAGAAGAGGGGAGAGCAGCATGTACTGAGAGAGTGCTTTAGAATAATCCAGTAACTGTTCTTCCTCCGGCCAACAGTCCTAGCGCTGGGTGGAGGCTGGATCCCCACCCCCTGAAAACCTATAATCCTAACATGGCTCAGGTAAGATTTCGAATGTCCTCAGCTCTGACTAGCAGCCAGCCTGAGATGGCCTCACCCCAGAAGATACCTTCACCAGTATCAACAGTTAAGAGGGGCGATCAAGGGGACAAATTGTTCTCCCCCAGCACAGAAGATTGCTGCATAGGAGTCAAGGACAGACGACATGTGTGGGGTGGACAGGCGTGATGGATTAGTATAGTCATGGAAATAAGACAGACGCCTCCTATGACACATTCAGACGTCACCTTTTCCTCATTCTAAGTCTGTGTGTACAGGGTATGAGGTGGTGGGGAGCATGTGCCCTGGAACACATGTAAAGTCAGAGGACAACATGGGGAGTCTTCTCTCCCCTTCTACCTTATTGACTTGTGCTTGAGGCCAGGCTCAGCCAGCCCAGGTGGGCCTTGCATTTGCTATGTCACAAAGGATAAACCTGAACTTAACAATTTCCCTGCCTCCACCTACAGGTGTTAAGATTACAGGTATGCACAATGACCCATTTGTGTGATGTTGGGGTTAAAATTTGGGCTTCATGTACGTTAGGCAAGCACTGTACCAAGGGAGCTACATCCTTAGCCCCCAAAGCTGTGCGCGCGCGCGCGCGCGTGTGTGTGTGTGTGTGTGTGTGTGTGTGTGTATTTTATATATAGTCCATCACATTTTGGGGGGGGTCACTTGTCTCACCCTGTTAGCCAGCAGACACCCTCTGTCCTGTGAGAACAGGCGCCCTCACGTGTCTGCTCCTCAGGGATAAAGGGGGATTTGGGGCAGCACGGCAGAAAACGAGGCGTGTGCTGGAGTGAGGCATGAGGTATGTTTTCTCACGGAAACAGGAGAAATGGTGCTATTCTATGAAAATAGTTCAGGGGGCCTCACGCCTTAACCCCCCAAATTACTTAAGAGGAATCGAAAGCGTTTGCACTCTTCCTACCTCACGCTGGAGTGAGGAATCGAGAGGACACGGCTCAGGGCATGGTGGCTGTACTTCTGCAGAGGGGACAGCCAGGACAAAGGGATCTCTATTCTCAGAGAAAGAAACTTTCACCTAAGGGTTTCCCCAGACTGGATCCTTCTATGGCATCTTGGCCTTGACCAACACCTGGGGACAAGTGACTGAGACCTTCTAGACGAATGTATCATGGCCTTTTTACTTCTCAAGGTGGATTCTACCTCCTAGGAGTTCAGGGACCAACCTTTACCATGTCTGCCTGGTTGCATCTTACCAGAAGGAAAAGGGACCAAGACAGAGAATGGGGCTGTAGCAAGCGTCTCATTTCCCTTCGTCATTCTCTGCACTGCCAGGCTCACCACCTGCTGCTTGGCGCTTCACAGCATTGCCCAGGAAGGTCTCTTGAGGATCAATGTGAAAGTTCCCCAAGTGTATGAAACTGAAAAAGAACATTCTAGAATGGATATAACACTGATTAATGTAAGTCTACATCAAATCTTTCCAGCTATGCAACCTTTAATTGACAGTGAGGGGAGAGACCCTTCACTGAGAGAATAATTAAAAATAGAAAGATGAATTTTTTAAAAGTAATCATTTGGGTTATTTCAGGTTAAAAAACTATAACCACAAGTGGAGTAGAAATAAATCTGTAAACAAAATGAATGAATGAGGAAGATAGAGATAGAGAGAGGCGGAGACCGGTTGGTACTCCATAGAACCTAAATAAAATGATCTACTTAAAAAACTACCATTTCTCAGGCCTGGAATGAAGGTTGAAGTGCAGCTATTAATTTCACAGGCATCGCGGACTCTTGTGCAGAGCAGTGCAATGGTATGGGTGTGCAAGCATTGCACGCTCCAGTCCATTTAGACTCAGACCTTTCTTCCCATAGTCATGTATTTGTGTGTTCTCTGCTGGCCAGTCATTCTTGTCACTTTTATGAGATCTAAACAAATTAGACTTAACCAAGAAACTCACCTCTCTAGCCATGGTGGCCCCCAAGCCTCAAAAACACATTACAATATGAAGCCACAACCTCCACAACTAGGCACGAACTAGAAATAAGTCACAGTGGAGTGCAAAGTTAACAGTGAGCAAGGGCCTGGGGTGAGAGGGCCTTGACTTGGCGAGGCTCTGGGTTCAGTGCCCAGCTCCAGAGCAGCAATGCAGAAACAGGGGCCAAAGGGTTGGTTTACAAAAGGAAGAAAAGAGAACTGCCTTTTCCTTGGCTTCCGAATGGAGGCAGGCTGAGGAGAGGAGCTCATCTTGACACTTTCAAAACCTGCTTACTTTTTGGATAGAAACTGCCACAGTTGAACCAACAAGTGGGAACTCACCATTCATACCGAGGGGTGAGAAGAATTTATATTCCTGCATGCAATTACTAACTACACTGCTTAGCAGAGCTCACAGTGTCTCCAGGATATTAACTGCAAATGAAAGTAATCAGACTATCCAGAGTTAGAATGCTTGTGTCCCAGGGCTTCTGTGTCCAGAGGCCGCAAACGGTGTGACTTAGCTCTGAGTATTCCTGTGCTCTGGAGGGCGGAAGTCCAGAGCAGCAAGGCCTGCCCTCAGTCTGCCGTGGCCCACAGTCCCTGACGCTCCTAGGCTTGAGCTGCTGCTCCTCCATCTCTGCCATCTGTGCGGTACCCTTCCCTCCTATTCAGACAAGGTCATGGGTCATCCTGGCAACCATGTCTTACCTTCACGACACCAATACAACCCTATTTCCCAAAGCCAAGCACTTCAAAATCCTTTGAAGTGACATTTCTGCCAGTATGTCTAACCGGGTACCTGATGTGCTAACCGGGTACCCGATGTGCTAACCGGGTACCCGATTCGCTAACAGGGTACCCGATTTGCTAACCGGGTACCTGATTCGCTAACAGGGTACCCGATTTGCTAACCGGGTACCTGATTCGCTAACAGGGTACCTGATTTGCTAATTTGGGGAGATTATTTGCTGCAATCTCCAAGGTCTGGGGCAACATTAAAACTGAATTCCAAGAGATACCACACCTTTCTGAAACTTAAATCTTACTATTTCATGGGAATCCAAAGGCCAGCCACTCATTCCTGACACAATCTGGCCAAGCCCTGCCCACCCCTTCCACTTGCTCTAGTCACAGCCACATTGCCTTCTGGTGCCTCCCTTGGTCTCTTTGTTCCTCTCCCACTGCGCTGTGTCTGAACAGGGTTTCTTAACATCTTTTGCCCTCACATTCTGTTCCTTTCTCTAAAACATAACCACCTTTCCATCCAGGCAATTCCTAGTTGTTCTTTCTGTAAGATCTGCCCCTACTTCTCCAGGAAGCCTTCAGATTCCATTGTACTCCTTAGACGTGGCTTGTTTTGAAGGCTAAGAGATGAAAAACCGGAAGCCTGAGTAGAATCCTGACTCCATTAATTTGACAGCTGTGTGACCTTGAGCTGGTTAATAGCCTCTCTGTGCCTGTTCCCTTATCCGTCAGGTATAAAGACTGATGTTCACAGTATGCATGTTTGGTTTCATTGAGTTAAAACATGTGAAATGCCCAGCGGTGCCTTGAACCAATCAGCCCTGTATTCGTCAACATGGCTCATTCACACCTCTTGTCAATCCCAGTACACTTACACTTTCTGGCTATTTCCCACCAGATTAAAAACCATGTGAGGAACGAGACTACATTTGTCTTGGGTCCTTGCCTACAAAGGCACTTGGCATTCAGATCTTTGTGTCAGAGAAGTGAGTGGATGCAGGGGGATAGGAGTGGTGACGACTTCTCTTTCTCCAGGAAGATGTGTAGGATGTATAGCAAAGATAGCAGAAGGGTGGAGGGGTGAGGGCTGGGAAGGAAGAAGACAGGGCTGAAGTCACCAGGAGGGAGAGGACACGTACACAAGTCTTTATCTCTGGAGCTAGAAGACTCATCATTGCAAGTCAACCGTTATATGCAAAAAGAGGGGAAAAAATGCGGGTTTACATAAAATCATTAGTAATATAGAAATCAAGTAATAACTTTCTTTTAAACATCCAAAATACAAATTGTAGGAGTAATATATGCTATTTGAATATGAATTTTTCAAATACAAAGAAAAGTTCAGCTTGCAATTCAATATGTCCCCAAAATATTATACTTAGTGAAATGTATTTATAAAACCCATCATTATCATGAAGGGATGTTGTATTTTGTTGAAGGCTTTTTCAGCATCTAATGAGATGACCATGTAGTTTTTATTTTTCAGTTTGTTTATAGATATCAAGATGTAGAAGAATGAAAATAGATCCATATCTATCCACATGCACAAAACTCAAATCCAAATGGATCAAACATAAAACCAACCACACTGAAACTCACAGAAGAGAAAGTGGGAAGTACATTTGAATGCACTGGCACAGGAGACCACTTCCTAAATATAGCCACAGCAAAGGACACGGTCAACAAGACGAAACGACAGCCTACAGAATGGGAAAAGATCTTCACTAACCCCACATCAGACAGAGGTCTGATCTCCAAAATATACAAAGAACTCAAGAAACTGGTCATCAGAAGAACAAATAATCCAATAAAAAAAAAAAAGTGAGGTACAGACCTAAACAGAGGAATCTAACAGGGCTGAAAGACACTTAAGGAAATGCTCAACATTCCTAGCCATCAAAGAAATGCAAATCAAAACAACTCTGAGATTGCATCTTACACCTGTAAGAATGGCCAAGATCAAAAACACCGATAACTTATGCTGGAGAGGTTGTGGAGTAAAGGGAACACTCCTGCACTGCTAGTGGGATTGCAAGTTGGTATAGTTACTTTGGATATCAGTATGGCAATTTCTCAGAAAAATTAAGAAACAACCTACCTCAAGACCCAGCAATACCACTTTTGGGTATATATCCAAAGGATGCTCAATCATGCCATAAGGACATGTTCTCAACTATGTTCACAGCAGCGTTGTTTGTCATAGTCAGAGCCTGAAAACAACCTAAATGCCCCTGGACCAAAGAATGGATAAGGAAAATGTGGTACATTTACACAATGTAGTACTACACAGCAGAAAAAAAAATGACATCTTGAAATTTGCAGGCAAATGGATGGATCTAGAAAACACCATACTGAGTGAGGTAACCCAGACCCAGAAAGACAAATATCATATACACTCACTCATAAGTGGTTTTTAAACATAAAGCAAACAAAAACCAGCCTACAATTCACAATCTCAGAAAACCTAGACAACAATGAGGACACTAAGAGAGACATACATGGATCTAATCTACATGGGAAGTAGAGAAAGACAAGATTTCCTGAGTAAATTGGAAGCTTGGGGTCCATGGGAGAAGGTAGAAGGGAAGGGGAGAGAAAGTGGGGAGCAGAGAAAAATATATAGCTCAATAAAAACAATTTTTAAAAAAGAAATAAAAAAAGAAGAAAATACCAGGACACAACACATGAAAAAAACATAAATATGTAAGTATTAAATGTAGATAAATAAATGTAAATATACTGTATAAGTTCAAAAAATAAAATAAAACCCATCATTGTGTACAGCAAATAAAAGTAAAAGTATAAACAAGATAATCATATAATCAACATATAGATGCAGAAAATGTATATAATAAAATTTAACAGAGAATGATTAATAAAATGAAAGAACACTCAGCAAACAGGAAATGAGATATTGTCAACATAAGAAATGTTATCTATGAGTCTTACAAGAAACATTATATATATGTATGTGTGTGTGTATATATATACGCATATATATGTATGTATGTGTATGTATATATACGCAAATGTATATGTATATATATATATGTGCGACTGTTGCACTTTTTTTTCCCTCCAAGAGTGAGAAAAAGAAGCAAAGGGTAACATACAATTCCAATGGTGTCCAAAGATGTCCGCTCAGTGTGGGTAAATGTTTCTACCTACATCTGCGAGTTACTCACAGCTTGCTAACGCCAAGCCCAGACAGGTCACAGAATATGCAGGCACAAAGGCCAGGAACTCTATTTGCATATGAAATGTAACTGCTCAAAAAGTTTTAAATTCTTTGTTTCTTAAGATTTTACTCCCATAGACTGAGCATAATTGAAACAAATGTCTGGACTCCGAAGTGTATATTGTTACAGTATTTCCTAAAAGTAGTAAAAATCAGGCCTTATGAAAAGCTTAGGAAGCCCAGGAGAAACATCACTATAAAAGACTTATATTTTGAATAGTAGTATCTTGAACAAGTCAAATTTCTAGAAAAATAAATTCTCAGAGCAGTAAAGCTTGTTCCCATTTATTTTGTGTGTGTAGTTCAGAAATACAAGGTATGAAAACTGTTACAGTAATGCCACAAAAGCTCCTAAATACAGCCCTTTCTAAATATCAAAACAGCCATGTGTTCTTTGTCAGTGTAAAAATGTCGAGTTCTCACCACAAACAAGTATAAAATATAATGACCACGGTCAGAGCAGCGAGGCCCAGTCCAGAACCTGAGGGTGGTGGTCAGCGGGGGCTTTGAAAGCTGGGGTCCCGAGGACTAAGGAAAACGAGAAAGACACAATGCATCCTCAAGCAAAAAGAGTGAATATTAACTCTGCCTGCAGTAAGACATGTTTCAATCAGAACACAATATAAAAACTTAAATATGGTGATCTAATTCACTGAGGCAAATGCGTGCAGCTGTCTGCGTTAAAGCAGCTGTGGCAGAAATGCTCTCACCTGCTAACTGTCAAACACCAACTACAAATCCTGCTTTCAGGAATCAATATGATTTAACAGGTCCAGATAAATATATACCACTAAATTATATGTAAGTATTAATTAAAAGAGAGCACAACATTCTAAATAATCAACTGTGTAAATTGTTAAATCGTAAAGCCATAGGAGAGAATAACCTTAAGAAAAAGATGTTTCTGGAGTGACCTGAAGTGAGTCCCAGGCCTTCACACGGGCAGGCAAGGGTTCTCCCACTGAGTCACTTCCTAGTCTGGCACCCTTTTTAAAAAACAAGTTAAATGAAGAATATTTCCTATTCATTCTCAATTATGAATGGTCCCTAAATTTATGTTGGAGTTTACATAGGAGAGTGATGTTAATTTTCAAATAAAGATAGGATGTATTCTAATAAAATAATACAACCCAAGCTAGCAGAGCAGGCATTCAAAACTGAAAGCCCACAAGCTCCCGGTCACTCAGAGGAAACACTACAGCAGAACTTACAGCTGGGCTTAGGAACTCAGTGGTAAAGAATGCCCTGCGGTCAACTGTCAGGAAGAAGAGAAAGTTGATAATCTCCCTAACAACCGAGCTGTCCCCCACCAAGCCATTACTGTTTCCACACCTGGGATAAAATCACAGTCTTGTGGGACGCCTGTGTGTCAGAGTTCATGCCGGCCGGACTTCTCAAAGGTACCGGGGACACATACTGATGCACAGGACATTTGCGTGGAGTCTGGTAAGGTTAACAAGTACAATATTCTCAAAACAGGTTCAAGTCTTGATGACAAATGAATTACGGTATCAACTTTAGAAGATTTTTCTGAGGCTTTCTGAGTGAGGGTGTTGGGGCCTCTAACAGTGGACAATAAGGCTCATGCCGTGGCATCATGGGCTGCAGACCCGAGTTTAAGCTGGGGTAGGGTGGCATCTCCTCCCATGAAACAAGGCTCTTCCCTGTATTTCAGGCATTATCCACAGAGCCAGCCTCTACCCAAAGACTGTCTGGAAATGGTATAATGAAAAAGTTAATTGTCCTTTCTCAGACTCCACCTTGGACTACATTTTAAGAGATACTAGTAGGAGGTGCCAACCATCTGGGAACATTTATAAGAAAATAAAATTGGAAGCTGTGCAGACAGGGATGCAGTTCCTGTGAATGAGGAACCTGTCGCCACCGTCCACTCCACCAGCTGTCCAACGGGACATAAGTCGCAAACTTTGGCTAGATCAGACTTGGAGGAGCCTTGGAACCACTCTGACACGGTCCACCTACTGCTACACACAGAACAAAGTCACAGTACGCAATGCACATAACAAAGCCATCTCTGTAATGGCATTTAAAATACATTCTTCTAGGTCTCGATAAAGATGGAGCCACTAGATATCTTAATTAAAAAATTAAATTAAAAATTAATAAATAAATTAATTAAAAAATAAGCCACCGTAAAGTAAAGAGCTTGAAAAATTCAAAGAGAAAATAAAATGTGTGGCCCATTGGCTATAGTGGTGCAGGGCTGTACTGCCGGCACTCGGGGGCTGTGGCAGGAGACCAGGCCAAAAACAAAAGCCAGTTTAAGAAAAGAGAGAGGGAGAAGGAAAAGAGAGAAAAGCAAAAACCAAATGTTTGCCATGGCAATAATTTCTAGGTTTTCAATAGATTTTTGTTGTGTTTGTCTTTTTTTAACACTTAAAAAGTTTTTTTTTTTTCTTTGAAAGTAGAGGTATTTTCCCAGTGGAATGAACTGGAATGCTCAACTTCATACACAGGAGAACAGGACAAGACATGAAGGCAAAGACAACAGGCCTGGAGCTGCACCGTGAACAGAGTGAGCAGGGACACAGGCTGCACCTAGAGCAGCAAAGGTCTCCTTACACACTGGGGACACTGTCGAGTCAGTGCAAGGCAGAGCAGCTGCACATCTTACTTCTAAGAGGGTTTTCAAAATCAGTCAGCTTTTACGAGTAGCTAGACTGAAAATATGCAACCAGCTGCCTTCCCTAAAAGCTACATGTCTGCTGACAGGGTAAGAACATCATGCTTTGGAGACTCGCTGTATGGAACTATGAACTCCACGTCAACACGGCTACTGAAGAAACTGTAAACTTTCAAGCTTCTAGGAGATTTTATTTCTATTCAGAAAACATGTAAGAAGGCTGTGTTTCCCCATGAACAAAAATGAAAATGTTCTACGTATTAGTCTTCGGAAGACAAGAAAGCCCCATCTGCCTATGCGAAGGGCTCAGCCTCTTGCCTTCCTCTGCACGGCTCTCTCATCCCCCATAGCGTAGGGATCAAAGAGAGAGAGAAGCCAGCTTCACGAGCAGGAGTTCCCAACAGGCACAGAGGAGCTGATGGTCAGGCTCACTGCTTTGAGGAAGACACACCTTGAATAACATACACTGAAAAAATCAAAAACCAAAAACCAAACAAAAAAAAACTAATCAAAACCCAGACACCATTTTTTCATGAAAAAATAAAACCAAAAATCAAAAGAAACCCTCAAAAGTCCTTGTGTGCCACCAAGTACATTTCTTAATCTCTATGGGCATGAGGGGAGGATCAATGAAAAACTGGATTTCCCGTTCTGGGGTTCTGTCCTTTACCCTGTTCCCCTGACACTACTGCCCACGTGACCACCACTTGGCCTCAAAGCCCAGAAACCAAGTGGTGCCCTGGTCCATATTTGCATAGTGTTAACAGTAACAGTGTAGAGACGAACTCTGTCCCTTTGCCTGCAGTCAGATGTCTGAAGAGCACTGGGTCTAGTCTCACACATTCAAAAACAAGACACAAGAGTCCGGAGGCCAAAGATCGAGTTCCATTAGCAGCAAGCTGTCAAATCACTGGATACAGTCTCTTGTCCGAGGGGCAAGAATTAGGCAGTTTTGTCTACAGTTTCGGATTCTGCCTTCTGCACCATGCAGCGGCGAACTATGTTATCAAAACTTCCAAGGTAAAATAAAGCAATGGTTCGGAAAAGGCCCATGGTGACCACCTGCAAGATAAAGGAGACCTTTCAGCTCACCCAACAGGACAGCACAATAGCCCATTTTAAAGTAGTTATGTCTCTACCAAACAGTTTCTAGGACACATCCAATCTGCTCCAAGAACAAGTATAATGAAAACTTCGTAAATGCCAGTGATTTTCAAGAACAGAATACTTTGTGTACCAGATGGCATCGAACCTGCTAGATAAACAGCAATATTTGTCTGAATTAACAAACTGAAACCATGAAGAGAACAAAACAGGTACTCTTAGAAGACACGGTTGCCAGTCCTAGGCATGGCGCCTTCCAGCTCTTCAGACAGACACCCTACATCAAACTGCTTTGGCTAGGACTTAGGTTGTAAGTACTAAGCCCTTTGGCTGGGTGCTGAGGACGCTAGTGGGAGAAATAGAGTCCTCTACTCTCTGAACTGGCATGTTTGGAGACAAAGTCTTGCCATGTTGGGTAGACTGGTCCCAGCTCCCGGTCTCCAGTGATCCTCTGGCTTCAGCCTTCTAAGTCGCTGTGACCACAGGTGGGCACACACCCGGCTTGTGAGGGAAACACAGTCAAGTAAGATAGCAATCACTGTCTCAGGGGCAAGACTGCAATTATCCATGACCTCTTGCTAACACAACTCCATTGCAGAAAGACACACATTTTCAGATACGCAAGGACTAAAACCATTGTCTCACAGGTATCCTTTTCCGAGAAGAATGAGATACAGAAAGTGAGGGTCATCACAGTAAGGAGTGTCATGTGACCTGATGAATTTGTAAATATCTCAAGGCCAGTAATGAATCCGCAGACTGGGGATGTGGTCCAGCCAGTGAAGTGTGTTCCTGCATGTATGAAGCTCTGGCTCCCATCCCCCGCACCACATAAAATGGGCCTGGTGGTATCCACCTGCAATCACAGCACTTGCAGAAGAGGCAAGAGGACCAGAAGCTCCAGGTCATCATTTCAAGAATCCTAGTGTATAGGAGGGAATAACAGAAAAAGACAAAAAATAGCAAGACAAAATTTTTTCTCAGATACAAACCTAACCATAATGAGCACAGCTAATCTAATGGAATGAGCGTGGGGAGGAGGAACATGCGGGAGAACTAGCGCCTCCTCCATGCTAATCACAACAACAGGATGCACCAAGTAAGAAAAGCAGCAGCAGCTGAACCAAACAGCGGGACACACAGTGCAGGCTTTGCTGAGAGGAGTGACTGCCTCAGAGCCAGGCACAAAGAGAAGCTGTGAGGAGCAATTGTCTCCCAAAGCCTTGGTACCTGAGTCTCTGAGTGAGTGCAGGCAAGGCCGACTGTTGAAAAGCCAAGGAAGCTGGTAAAGGGAAACCCAAGTAACACCATGACCAGCAGCCAGGGCTCAGGAGGATAAAATAGGTATCTCTCAGGAGAATTTCAGGACAGTGAAATGATCCCATGTGGCCCTGGGTGATAGATACATGCCTCATAGAAGCGGAGTGTGAACTGTGAGCCTGAAACAAGGGGGCCCCACTAACGTGAGGACCTGGGACATGGGCTCTGGAGGCCGGGAACCAAGGTCTGTTATTTAAAATAAGACACCAAACTAAAGGCCAGGGAAGAGGAGACCTCAAAAAAAAAAAAAATCTACAACGCAATCCATAAGGCTGAAACAAGAGTAGATCCAGGCTCCAACACAGGCCTGCAGTTAGTTCTCTAGTCAAAGGGAACCTCAAGATCTGAGCCAACGGAAACCTGAGGGTGCGAACAGAGAGAACTCAGTCAGCTCGCTGGCAGGCTTCATCTGGGAACGCAGGTGAGCAGCCCAACAGCAGGGCCGCATTGTGCAAGCACAGCTTAGAAACTGTGACATTGCTGGTATGTATTCCAGTGGCCTGGGCAAGGTGCTGAGGTGGCAGGGGTTAGGGCAGGGCTGTGCTCTGTGCTCTGGGCGTGACTGCCGTCTTTTCCCACAGGGAAAGTAGTCTGCTGCTGTAGACCTCTTAATGTCCCAAGAAACGTCTCAAATCTGGAATTTCTATTTTCCCATATCTGATTTTGAAATAATTTTATTTAAATATACACACTCTTGGAGTGTGGTACCTTACACCCATAATCCTAGTGTAGGGAGCGTAGACGGATGGGCTGGGGGTCAATGTGAGCCTAATGCCTGTTTAGACTACATAGCAGTTCCAGGCTAGCCAGGACTAGGGAGTCCACACTTCATCGGATGGACTACAGCATCCCTTTCCATGCCCACAGGCTCCCATGTACACATTCCAGCTCACTACAAACCTGACTCAGGTCAGAGGTAATGATCTTGGTCTCAGCTCTGGGACCATCAGAGCTGCAGAAAGTAGGACAGTGCTGAGGTGATGACAGGGACCCTGACGGGAAAGGCAGAAGCAGAGGAGTCAGGGGTCACAGGCCAGTCTCTGGCCGGGCACAAGGGCATGAGCAGCTATCAGCGTGAGCACACTGGAGAGAGCTGAGGCCGGAGATGTGGTGCAGGAATCCAAAGGGCTTGTCAAACTGGAATGTCTAGTTACTTGCCAGGGAGAATTTGTAAAAGAAATTGATTTTTAAAAAAGTTGGGCTGGTGGTGGTGGCACACGTCTTTAATCCCAGCACACAGGATCTCTGTGAGTTCAAGGCCAGCCTGGTATACGGAGCGAGGGCCAGGACAGCTAGTCTCAACAAACAAAAACAAACAAATGAAAGGTTGGAATGTGAACGTAATGCAGCCTGAGACTAGACTACCTGCAGACAGGTGCAGTACCCGCAGCCTGAGACTAGACTACCTGAAGACAGGTGCAGTAGTGCAGCCTGAGACTAGACTACCTGCAGACAGGTGCAGTACCCGCAGCCTGAGACTAGACAACCTGCAGACAGGTGCAGTAGTGCAGCCTGAGACTAGACTACCTGCAGACAAGTGCAGTACCCGCAGCCTGAGACTAGACTACCTGCAGACAGGTGCAGTACCCGCAGCCTGAGACTAGACTACCTGCAGACAGGTGCAGTACCCGCAGCCTGAGACTAGACTACCTGCAGACAGGTGCAGTACCCGCAGCGTGAGACTAGACTACCTGCAGACAGGTGCAGTAGTGCAGCCTGAGACTAGACTACCTGCAGACAGGTGCAGTAGTGCAGGGTGAGACTAGACTACCTGCAGACAGGTGCAGTACCCGCAGCGTGAGACTAGACTACCTGCAGACAGGTGCAGTACCCGCAGCCTGAGACTAGACTACCTGCAGACAGGTGCAGTAGTGCATGGTGAGACTAGACTACCTGCAGACAGATGAACTACTGCAGACTTTGCGTTCCCATCCATCCAGGGCATCCTCGAACCCTGTTTGTGTGGTCCTAGATGCTGGGGTACAATGCCAAACAAGAGCGACATAGGCCCTGTCCCTGCAGATCTTCTACCTAACAATGTTCACTGTCAGGCAATCCTATGACAGCTGGTGCAGTTCAGAGTGTGATAGACAGAAGGGAAGGAAATGCCTGAGGGAAAACTAGGGAGCTACATGAATGCACCTTACACAAACGCCTACAGATCCAATGCTTTGTTGACAAAGATGCTTGGTTCTGTGCCCCACACATCCCTCCAGTTAGAGCTCTAACCACACGTCTGCGGTCACCATTACATCACCCAGAAGTCACACCCGCAACATGGCAAACTCTGTAAAGGTTATGACCCTCTTATACCTTGCCATCTGGGGAAGACAGAGCTTTGTCAACAGAAGTGAACTTTCAGCCCTGGAGAGACGAACTGCAGTGCTGCTATCCCTGATTCTCAGCACCTAGATGGCAGCTTATAACTCCACTTGTTTCAGGGAAGCTCCATGGGCACTGCATACATGTGGTGCACAGACATACATGTAAGTGAACCACTTATGCACACTTAAAATTTAAAAATTAAATACTAAGAGTTGGAATTCTCATGTATCCTAGATGAAACTATAAATTCCGTCAGGGCAAAGTGTGTCGAATGCTCTCCTAGAATCTCCTTCAGCCACCAGTGGCTAGATCACTAGAAGAGGTATTCTAAGCTAGCATCTTATTGTGGACAGTGCTGCTCTATACAATCTTAGACCAAGTACCCCTTTTCAAACACAGTAGAGCAAGGGCTCGTTACTGAAAACACAGGTGACCACCCAACAGAGGCGATCCTTCAGCCACCTGCGGGGCCCAGTACCTCACTTTAACCAATATATACCCCTACCCTACTTCCTGTTTACTTACAGTTGGCAGAAAAAGAAAACAAAACTTTGCATTAAAATTATTGCACTCTGCTCACGGAAGCTGGAGAGGTAATCCTTGTATTGTCCGTTCATCTGTGCTGTCAGTCTACCTGGCTGGGTGTCTGTCTGGTTGCTGGCTAAGGAAGGGCTTACCTGCTGGAGTCCTTCAGTGATGGAAGTCACTGGGGCCATTCCACAGGTCAGGGAAGAGAGCATATACCCATCGGAGCCAATGGAACTATTAAAGTTTCCCTGCTAAAGAAAGAAGCAAGAGAAAATGAGGGGTATGGAGTAAGTTAAAGGAATCAGTTCAGTGCTGGAGAAGCAATGAAGTCTGCCCCTCGCTTATGTGGGGTAGGATAGTGACTTAGAAAACCAGAACTAAAGAATGGACACACAGACTCAGTGCATGTAAGTCCACAGACCCTGAAAGGGTCTAGGGTCAATGCAACTGTCAAATAATATTTGGACATTTAGCTGGTCTCCACCACTGACGTTTGTACTGAAGGGCAATCTGCCACAGGACAAACCCGTGGTTTTCTGTGAGTGTGGGCTAATGGCCCTAATTCAGTCACTGCCACTCCACTACAGGGACAAAGACACAGACAAAGAAAACACAACAGAAAAAAGTCTTTAAGAACCAGAAAGAGGCATCGTACTTAAAAACACTTGATAAAACAAGAAAGTTCAGCATCTTATTAAACAGTAACCTTTGGAGACAGCTCTCTTCCATACAAGCCCTGTGCCCCCAGCTTCCTGTACTGACAGTTAGCCAAGGTCTGAAAAAGCCAAGTGGAAATCCCAGAAAGAGATTCCTAAGTGTTAAACTGCATGCTGTCTGCAGGGCACACTGGCACCTTGGGCTGTCCGGCTCTGTCCCACCTGGAATGTGTGTCACTTCTTTTTCATCGGTATAGCCAAGGGCTTAATCCATTAAGTTTCAGGCTGCCCTGTGAGCTCACAATGTAACTGACCTTGAATCTCTGATCCTCTTGCCTCTACCTCCCAAATACTGGGATTGCAGATGTATATCATCACCCTCAGGTTATGTGGGTGATGAAGCAAGGCTTCATGCATGCGAGGTTACCACTCTGCCAACTGAGCTACAATCCCCAGCTAAGCTTCTGCATGGGAGTGTATGGGGACACACACAGCAGACACAGCAATCAGTACCATCTGACATTGGCTGGTCTTGGATCATCCCCTAGAGGACAAGGAATACATTTATCACACACCACTCTGTATGTGGTAAATGCTTAAACTGGGAATAGTAAGGATGGCTGACACCTTGAAGAAAAGCCCTCTTGCCACGGCTCGGAGATGAACTTCCTGACTAAAGACTACTCTCCTATTTGACAATGGTTGACCAGCGGCTGCATTTGGACTCAGGTTTATGGCACAAACGGGGCAGAGAACAAAGTGAATTTGGGGCTTGCAGGAAAACCACAGGGTACACATGTGGGCGGTGATAAAATCTGAGCTTTTAAGGAAAAATTAAAATTTGGGAAAATTTTACCAACCAGTGTGAGACTGCTGGGTTCCTAATATTTCCAGATCTCCGATGAATGTGACTTTTGATAACCTAGTGATTTCATATCTTCCAAATGACAACGATGAGATTCAAAGCACAAACCAGAGACTGATGTCAATGCCAGGAGAACAAAAATTTCATTGGTGCAGCGTCTGATTTCTCACTGCAACCTTTAAGAAACTGCTCTTTGTCAAGTTGTGGGTTAAATATAAAAAGAGAAAATTATGCCCATAATTATCTGAAAAACTTAGTGAAGACTTTGTTGTCTCCCAACTACCTATTTGTTTAAAGTCAGGTTTTCTTCAAACGTTTCAAAAAGAATGTATTTTAACAGATTGGCCACAGAAGCAGACACTAGAATCCAGCTGGCATTTATTAATGCAGACCTTGTACAGGCTCGTGAAAACACAATACCACACTTGGCACTGAATTTTTGTTTGAAAATAGTTATTTTTGAGCCAGGCATGGCAGTGCATGCCTGTAACATCAGCACTTGAGAAATGGGAGAAGGGTCAGCAGTTCAAGGTCATTCTCAGTTGAAGACTGAGTCTGAAGCCAGCGAGCCACGGGAACCCTGTATTTAAGAAATTAAGAACAGGGACAGCTCCGAGGACAAAAGCTCTTGCACGTGAGTCTGGTGATGTAAGCTCCACCCCAGAACTCTGTGTAAAAAAAGAACTGACTCCCCAAAGTTGTTCTCTGACCTCCATACTCACACGTGCACACCCACATGCGCGTGCACACAGACACACACACACAAAATAAAACTGAAGGAAAAGGAGGCACACAGCTGCCTGAACTCCAGTTCCAGGGGATATGGCGCTCTCTCCTGGCCATGGCAGGCACTGCGCATAAATAAATCTGTTTAAAAATGTAATGAATTTAATGTCTGTTGCAGTCTATTATTCTTTCTCTTTTCCTTTACATTCTGTTTTATTTGGTGTGTGTGTTTTGCCTGCATGTATGTCTGTGTATCACATGTGATCTAGGAAGTGGTGAGCTTCCATGTGAGTGGAGGGAATCAACCCAGGTCCTTTGCAGGAACAAGTGCTCTTAACCACTGAGCCAACTCTCCATTCCACATTTACTTGATTTTAAAGGACTTCATCTCATCATTAAATCTCTCCCATCATCCTCTAGTGGTGCTGGTGATGAAATCCAGGGTTTCGCATATGCAAAGCAAGAACTTACCCTTGAATCTCTCTTCACAGCCCTGCAACTAAATATTTGAAAAACTATACTTTCAGTATCTATTATGGCAAATATTGAGGAACACAGGCCTGTCAGGTATGATGGTGCATGCCAGCACTTGTAATCCCAGCACGTGGGAGGCAAGCATATCTGAATCCAAGGCCAGCCTGTTTCACATAGTGAGTTCTAGGACAGCCAGAGCTATGCAGTGAGACCCGTCTCAAAACAACAAACGAAAAAAACAAATATATCCCAGATAAACATATGGGTTTTTTGGTGTCAATAATTTATAAACTATAATGGGGTCAAGAAGACCAAGTTTGAAATCTACCTCACAAGATGAATCTTGCCAAAACTGGAAGCATGATTTGGGGTCATTAAAAGCACAGGTGGTGGAGCAGGGGAGGAAGCTTGCTCAATGGTAGAGAGCATTTGCTGCTCTTAAAGAGGATAAGATCCTTTAGCTTCCAGCACCAACACAAGCTCCCGTAACTCTGGTTACAGGGAAACCAATGCCCTCTTCTGACCATTTGGGCACTGCACAACACACACACACACGGTACACATGCACACTTGCAGGCACGCACAGCACACACACGGTACACATGCACACTTGCAGGCACTGCACAGCACACACACACACACACGGTACACATGCACACTTGCAGGCACGCACAGCACACACACGGTACACATGCACACTTGCAGGCACTGCACAGCACACACACACACACACGGTACACATGCACACTTGCAGGCACGCACTGCACAGCACACACACACACACGGTACACATGCACACTTGCAGGCACTGCACAGCACACACACACACACGGTACACATGCACACTTGCAGGCACGCACTGCACAGCACACACACACACACGGTACACATGCACACTTGCAGGCACTGCACAGCACACACACACACGGTACACATGCACACTTGCAGGCACTGCACAGCACACACACACACGGTACACATGCACACTTGCAGGCACTGCACAGCACACACACACACGGTACACATGCACACTTGCAGGCACTGCACAGCACACACACACACGGTACACATGCACACTTGCAGGCACTGCACAGCACACACACACACGGTACACATGCACACTTGCAGGCACGCACTGCACAGCACACACACACACACACGGTACACATGCATACTTGCAGGCACGCACTGCACAGCACACACACACACGGTACACATGCACACTTGCAGGCACTGCACAGCACACACATGCGGCACACATGCACATTTGCAGGCACTGCACAGCACACACACAGTACACATGCATACTTGCAGGCACTGCACAGCACACACACAGTACACATGCATACTTGCAGGCACTCACAGCACACACACACACACGGTACACATGCACACTTGCAGGCACTCACTGCACAGCACACACACACACACGGTACACATGCACACTTGCAGGCACTCACGGCACACACACACACGGTACACATGCACACTTGCAGGCACTGCACAGCACACACACACACGGTACACATGCACACTTGCAGGCACGCACTGCACAGCACACACACACACACACGGTACACATGCATACTTGCAGGCACGCACTGCACAGCACACACACACACGGTACACATGCACACTTGCAGGCACTCACGGCACACACACGGTACACATGCACTCCTGCAGGCATGCACGGCACACACACACGCGGTACACATGCACACCCGCAGGCACTGCACAAGACACACACACACGGTACACATGCACACTTGCAGGCACTGCACAGCACACACACACGGTACACATGCACACTTGCAGGCACTGCACAGCACACACATGCGGCACACATGCACATTTGCAGGCACTGCACAGCACACACACAGTACACATGCATACTTGCAGGCACTGCACAGCACACACACAGTACACATGCATACTTGCAGGCACTCACAGCACACACACACACACGGTACACATGCACACTTGCAGGCACTCACTGCACAGCACACACACACACACGGTACACATGCACACTTGCAGGCACTCACGGCACACACACGGTACACATGCACACTTGCAGGCACTGCACAGCACACACACACACGGTACACATGCACACTTGCAGGCATGCACGGCACACACATGGTACACACGCACACTTGCAGGCATGCACGGCACACACACGGTACACATGCACACTTGCAGGCACTGCACAGCACACACATGGTACATATGCACACTTGCAGGCACTGCACAGCACACACACGGTACGCATGCACACTTGCAGGCACTGCACAGCACACACACGGTACACATGCACACTTGCATGATGTGGGAGTGTCCTTTAATCCCAGTGCCTAGAAGGCAAAGACAAACAGATCTCTGTAAGTTCAAGGTGTAGTAGTGTACACCTTTAATCCCAATGCCTGGGAGGCAGAGACAGGCGGATCTCTGAGAGTTCAAGGACAGCCTGGTCTACAGAGTTATTCCAGGTCAAAGATACAGAGAACCTGTCTCAAAAAGCAAAAAATAAAAGTAAAAATAAACAATAGAGGTTAAAATAAAGCGCACAAAGATGGAAAATACACAGAGAATCTTGATACTGTATGCTATTATGCTCTGTTTGAATTTTTGAATGCTGAGGAAGGAGCAACAGCTGCTAAAAGATATTTGTTTATAAATGCTGCTGAACTAATTCAACATAGATATTTTGAAAATGCCTTGACTTTGAAATTTGGATCTAAGGACATGATGCTTTGGAAAGGAGTTTCTTATTTTGTTTCCACAGAGGATGAGACCCTGTTCATTTCTTCTATTCCGATATGGTATGATGGACCACGCCCTCCTGAAGGGTTGCTGTGAACATCTTCAGAAAATTGCTTTGCTCAGCTGCCAACGAGATGAAACTAGCACACAGGTTATACCATGAAAGACCTAATTAACGACGCCCCCATTCAGCAGGAAGCAGTTTGGAGAGAAAACACTGCGCCCATGTTCCCAAATATGGTTCATAAATGTTCTTTAACATTTAAAGGGGGATATGATATAGATATGAATAATTTGCATTAATATAGATTTTGCTTTATTGATAGAGATTTAAGGTCAATTTTATTATATGTATATGTATTTCTTATATTGATTAAGGTATTGTGATTGTGTAGTTCACTTAAAATGTAATATATATAGCTTGTTAATAGATAATCATAATAGTCAAGCTTGTAGTCATGTTAGTTAAGATTTTCTAGATGTACATAGATATATTTTAGATAGGCATTCTTCATATTTTTCAAAGATTATAGAATATGGCATTTTAAATGTTTTAATAACTTAGGGTTAGGCCGGGCGATGGTGGTGCACGCCTTTAATTCCAGCACTCGGGAGGCAGATGCAGGCGGATCTCTGTGAGTTCGAGACCAGCCTGGTCTACAGAGCTAGTTCCAGGACAGGCTCCAAAGGCCACAGAGAAACCCTGTCTCGAAAAAAAAAAAAAAAAAAAAAAAAAAAAAAAACTTAGGGTTTTTCATGACAGTGAGACATGTCTGCTCCTGGCAGTACCAATCTACTTCAAGAGGAAGATGGGCATCGAAGAGGATCCTTATGGAGTTTAATAGTCATTTGGGCAAGAAACTGTTCTTGCTGGACTATTGCATAAACTGGAAACAGAGAACCCGCAGAGAAAGGACTACTGAACTTGCCTAAAGGTGAGATGGTCTTTCGGGATTCCTGATTCATGAAAGTGTCTGCAAGACATTCTTCAGGACAAGCAGATAGTGACTGCCTTTGAAATTCCGTGCTTTGTGGAAATGTCTGCTGGAAACTATGGGCCTATAGGCCGAAGATGGATGCCCCAACGGTACAGAGGAACTTTGGGTGACTGTCCAGGCAGCGAGATGTCTCTGTCATTTCTAGAGTTTTGAAAATTGCTTACTTTTTGTTTGCTTAGGTAATATTATATCCTTCTGGAGTCTTTGATGGAGTTAAAGAATATATAGATAGTTATAGTTTTCCTTAGTTATGAAAAAAGATAAAATAGATGTAAATATTGTAACTTTTACTTGATAACTGTTTCGTTATATGTAATTTTGCTATGTTAAAGTTAAAGCCTTCCCTTTTTTTGTTTAAACAGAAAAAGGGGAAGTGATGTGGGAGTGTCATATATCAATCTGTTGATTTCATTGGTTAAGCAATAAAGAAACTGCTTGGCCCTGATAGGTTAAAACATAGGTGGGAGGAGTAAACAGAACAGAATGCTGGAAGAGGAAGTGAGCTCAGAGATGCCATGCTCCCCTCTCCCAGACAGAGGCAATAGCTCTGCTCTCTGAGGCACGCGCAATGAAGCTCCAACCCAGGATGGACGTAGGCTAGAATCTTCCTGGTAAGCGCACCTAGCGTTGCTACACAGATGATTAGAAATGGGCTAAATTAATATGTGAGAATTAGCCTAGAAGAGGCTAGATAGAAATGGGCCAAGCAGTGTTTAAATGACTACAGTTTGTGTGTTGTTATTTCGGGGCATAAGCTAGCCCGGCGGGCGAGGTGCTGGGGACGCAGCCCCGCTGCTCCTATTACAACACTTGCAGGCACGCATGGCACACACACGGTACACATGCACACTTTCAGGCACTGCACAGCACACACAGTACACATGCACACTTGCAGGCACTGCACAGCACACACACAGTACACATGCACACTTGCAGGCACGCACTGCACAGCACACACACACACATGGTACACATGCACACTTGCAGGCATGCACGGCACACACACACACACGGTACACATGCACACTTGCAGGCATGTACTGCACAGCACACACACACACGGTACACATGCACACCTGCAGGCATGCACAGCACACACACACACGGTACACATGCACACTTGCAGGCATGCACGGCACACACACACGGTACACATGCACACTTGCAGGCATGCACTGCACAGCACACACACACACGGTACACATGCACACCTGCAGGCATGCACGGCACACACACACACGGTACACATGCACACTTGCAGGCATGCACGGCACACACACAAGGTACACATGCACACTTGCAGGCACGCACGGCACACACACACACGGTACACATGCACACTTGCAGGCACTGCACAGCACACACACACACACACAGTACACATGCACACTTGCAGGCACGCACTGCACAGCACACACACACACACGGTACACATGCACACTTGCAGGCACGCACTGCACAGCACACACACACACACACGGTACACATGCACACTTGCAGGCACTCACGGCACACACACGGTACACATGCACACTTGCAGGCACTGCACAGCACACACACACACGGTACACATGCACACTTGCAGGCATGCACGGCACACACACACACATACACACACAGTACACATGCACACTTGCAGGCACTGCACAGCACACACACGGTACACATGCACACTTGCAGGCACTGCACAGCACACACACACACGGTACACATGCACACTTGCAGGCATGCACGGCACACACATGGTACACACGCACACTTGCAGGCATGCACGGCACACACACACGGTACACATGCACACTTGCAGGCACTGCACAGCACACACATGGTACATATGCACACTTGCAGGCACGCACTGCACAGCACACACACACGGTACACCTGCGCACTTGCAGGCACTGCACAGCACACACACACACGGTACACATGCACACTTGCAGGCATGCACTGCACAGCACACACACACGGTACACATGCACTCCTGCAGGCATGCACGGCACACACACACGGTACACATGCACACTTGCAGGCACTGCACAGCACACACACAGTACACATGCACACTTGCAGGCACTGCACAGCACACACACGGTACACATGCACACTTGCAGGCACTCACTTTCTTTTTCAACCTGGGGGGAAATACCTTGAGAGTATTTGTTTTGGCTTGAGAGAAAAGCAAACTAGTTTATCCTAGTCATGCTTCCTATTCCACTGCTCTGTGCCTCTGAAGGCGACCAAGGCAACTATTTTACCCGCTCTGTGTGTGTATGGGATGTGTGCCTATGTGTAGGGACTAGAGGTGAATGTTGGGTGTCTACCTCAGGGTCTCTAAATGACCATGGGTAGGCTCAACAACCGGCTAGGCTGGCTAGCGTGCAAACTCTGCCAACACAGGGCTTGGGTTACAGACAGGTGTAACCACACTGGCCTTTTAATGTCAGTGCTGGGGATCTGAACTCAGGTTCTTTGTTTGTACAACTTACTGGACCATCTCTCCAGCCCCATTCTGTCTTTGTGTGTGTGTGTGTATGTGTGCACCGAAGCATGTATGTAGAGGCCAGAGGATAGCTTGAGGAGTCAGTTCTCTGCTTCCGCTACTGGGTTTTGAAGAACTCAGGTTATTAGGCCTGGTGGCAGGCACCTTTCCCCACTGAGCTGCCTCAGTGCTCTGGTCTGCTGGCTGAGGCTGCTGATACTCTGTCCCGCTCAGCTGGCACAGCAGTCCTTTCACCCCTTAGAAGTGGCACCGGGTTATCTGGATGCCCCTCATGGTAACGAACTCTAGATTTTCCAAAGTCATGTAGGCCTCCTGGGTTCACGCGCATCCCTCAGATGAACCTTTTCTCATAGGTGGATTAATGGGAATGTTGTCAAACGACCTGTGACCCACATGGTGTTCTACAAGGCTTTACACTGATCGGGTAAGGAGGTACAGCATGGGGGTAGTGGGCCCAGCAGCCTGACACGGCTTCTTATCATGACCATGAGGAACGTGGTACCAGAAAAGGAGAAAGAAGCATGCATTGTGAGCATGGCCACAGCCTTAGAAGATCTCAAACTGTGGGGTAGGGAAAGAAAGCCAGGACAAGGCTCACTGGGCAAAGGTGGGCACCAAGACTGACGACCTGAGTTCAGCCCCTGAACCCGTGTGGTGGAGGGAGAGCCCTCCCTGTATGAAGGTGACATTCACACACACGCGCGCACACACACACACACACACACACGCACATGCACATGCATGCTAAGCAACACTGAATTCATAAATAAAAGGGTGGCGACACGCTTCTGCTGTGTTCACACGCTTCCGAGGAGATGACGTTCTCGTGTGACTCCCATCCTCAGGCTGGAATCCACAGAATGTCTAAGGGGAGGACAGTGGGGGCCAAGAGTAGACAAATCCGACCAAAACCTGGATGCTCTCGTTTGAATTAAGTCTCTCTGTGTTTTCCAGAAATACAACACACACACAAACAGCACAGGGCTTTACTCACCACAGCATCTTTGACAATTTGTTTGGCCACCTGCTCTGGTTTGCAAACAGCTGTTGTCTCTGAAATGAGCCGGGTCTCCAGGGGCTGGAAGTGGAGAAACACACAAATCAATGCCTGTTGCATTATAAGTCTTAGAGGCCCTGATTTACAAATAATTACCATTTCCTACCTTCAAACAAATTCATATGTTTTAGGCAAAAATCAGGTTAGATTCTCAATCAGTTTCTATCCGTGGAATACCTCCATGCGGGAAGCAGGGCAAGGAGGCCCCTGCTGTGCTGTGGCTCCAGTGAGGACTGTCAGGCTGGGGTGACTTAGAGTGTGGACACAGAGCCTGGTCCCTGCCTGAGTGATCTAGCCCACTACAGTGCCTCCCTTCTGACTAGATCCCCCTGAGCAAATGACAATGCTGGGGACAGACACAAACCCTGAGTAAGAACTGTAACTGTTTCCTCAAGGACCAGCAGAGAGACTAGCGAGCCATCTGAGAATCAACACGGTGTAGCCCCTAGTTTGTCTGAGGGACAGTTACAGAACTGGGACTCCAGTATCTGTTCCACAAAAGACAGATGAAGGTCTACTGGTCTTGACCTGGCTCAGAACACCTTTCCTCCCTCTCTCTCTCTCCATCTCCTTCCCTTCCCCCACTCTTTCTCTCTCTCCTTCCTCTTTCCTTCCTCCCCTCCTTCCCTCCCTCTCTTTTCCTCCTTCCCTTTCCCTCCTTCCCTTTCTCTCTCCCTCCGCCTCCCTCCTCTCTATCTTTCCCTCCCTAACCCTCCATCCCTCCCTCCCTCTCCCCCTCTTTCTTTCCCCTCCCTCCCTCCCTCCCCCTTTCCCTCCCTCCCTTCCCCCTCTCTCCCTCCCTCCTCTCCCTCCCCCCTCTCCCTCCATCCCACCCTCCCTCTCTCCCTCCATTTCTCCTTCTCTCCCCTCCCTCCCTCCCCCTTTCCCTTTTCCCTCCCTCCCTTCCTCCTCTCTCCCTCTCTCTCTCCCTCCCTCTCTCCCTCCCTCCTCTCTCCCTCCATTTCTCCCTCCCTCCCTTCCTCCTCTCTCCCTCTCTCCCTCCCTCCTCTCTCCCTCCATTTCTCCCTCCCTCCCTTCCTCCTCTCTCCCTCCCTCCCTTCCTCCTCTCTCCCTCTCTCTCTCCCTCCCTCTCTCCCTCCCTCCTCTCTCCCTCCCTCCCTCCCCCCTCTCCCCCCTCCCCCCTCTCCCCCCTCCCCACTCTCCCCCTCTACACTCATCTACATCCTGGCTACCTCTGTACTCACGCTTGTCCTAATTCACTGTGAGCAGTAGTTTTTTCTCTTTTCATCAGCTTTTCTTAATAGCACTTTACGCACATGTAAACAGTCTTCAAAAGAGCTTCCAACTGAAGTGTTAAGACAAAGGAGACTGTAATTTTGACTCTTTACCTAGGCTTGAGGGGGAAAATCTAGCATATATTTCCTCGTCCTTGCCTGGTTTTGTGAGACAAGGCTTTACTATGTAACCCAAGCTGGCTTGTGACTTTTGATCCTCGTCCCTCAACCTCCTGAATACTGGGATCGCAGGCATGTGCCACCGTGCTCCGCCTACTTCTTCTTAAAATAGAAGAACAAATGCTTCCTAAAAGTCAGTTTTTCCTTCTGATGGTGTCATCATTTGCTCTTCCGGCCTGCCAGGTGGGTGAGGACACGCACTGAGTGAGAAGGTATTCACCACTCCCACACGGTCACAGACCAGAGCAGGATCCAGTCACCAGAAATCTCTGCAGAATTCTAACGGAGGTAAAATGGAAGCTCACAACCAATAGACAACATCAGAACCAAATCTCAGAGAAATTAATACTTTCTTTAGCTTTAGCTTCAAACTAAAGGACTCTGCAGCAAGTACTGAAAATTTGCTGAGCAGATCTCTGAGGCAGAAGTTTCAATTTATTTTTTAAAAACAAAGAAATTGTAAACATGGCTGAATTTAAAAGAAAATGGGGTGGGTTTCTACCTCAAAATCTTTTTTTTAACCAAACAAAAACAGGAAATAGACTATAAAAACATCCAAATTTTATGCTGCAGAAATCCACATACAATATTAGAGGAAAAAATGAAAATATAAAATAATTGTCTAAAACTAAAATCACCCTTGGGGTGAGCTGGCATGTTCTGATTGGTTTCTTCCAACCACTTCATCTGCTTGCTCTGTGTCAAGGCAAAGGGAAGACGGAAAGGAGGAGCCAGATGAACAACACCTGCTCTCAGCTCAGGAGAGCCTGAGCTCATTCCATAGAACCTGCATGTCCTGTGAGATAGCCTGAGCTCTTTCCATAGAACCTGCATGTCCTGTGAGATAGCCTGAGATCATTCCATAGAACCTGCATGTCCTGTGAGATAGCCTGAGCTCTTTCCATAGAACCTGCATGTCCACATGGGATAGACGCCGTGGAGGCTGAAGAACCAGATCCTAGAACAGCCTACACACACACACACACACACACACACACACACACACACACACACACGATGCCTTACAGGAACAGAACAATGCAGCAAAATCCGGTGTGGAATGGTGAGTTCCCCAGACCTCCTGCTTTGATTGGGCCTCAGAGATCAAACGGAGGGTCTCAACTGTTCTGATGGCAGGAGACCACTGAAAAGTTCTTACGCACCGATAAACTTCTCAGCTGACACAACAATTTGAATCAGACCAAATCAAACCGAATTAGAAAAAGCCCAGGTTTAACAGATACTAAGGCTCCCGCGTGGCCTCTAGGCCCTCAGAGAGGAGATGGGGAAGAAAGACCAGGAAACCACGTGTTTGTTCTCTGGGGGACAGTTTAAATACACTGTGGGCATGGTCTTGAGCATCTCTGAGATGCGGTCATCATTTGGCTGGCTTTCTCGGAGGTGGAGTTTGGACTGAGGCAACTCCCAGGTGAGTTGGCTTAGAATGGAACCTCCCACTCAAACATTCCAGACTCTGTAGGTATAGGGGTGCCAGGGGCTGAGGTGAAGCCTTAACCACAAGACTCCTCATTGGGGAAAGGATGAGAAAAGGGAGTAGATGTCCATGTAAGGGAATCTAAGGAAATGAATGCCCCACCCTGTCACCTCTAGGAAAAGCAGAAAGTGGAGGAGGCTCCAGGGTTTATAACCAGTCTTTCAGCATCACACTCAATGCAATCACTAACGTGCAGCGCCGCATGCCTGTAGCAACCAAGTAAAGAAACAGATAAGGGAGAGTAAAATGGAAAGAACAAAACCAACCACTGTCCAGACTAAAGCTCCTCAGGAATAAAGAAAGGACTCACTGTGAGGTTTCAAATGCTCACACCAGGCCCAGGGTCTCTCTACCTATGGGCCAGGATTTAGCTCCCGGCCACTCTCCAGCACCACGCCTGCCTTTGTGGCACCAAGCTCCCTCCGTGACGTTAATGGACTAACTCTACAAAAATGTAAGAAAGCCCCAATTAAATTTTCTCTTTTATAAGAGTTATGCTGGTCTTGGTGTTTCTTCACAGCCATAGAACAGAATGCTAAGACAAACCCCATGATAGGAAGAAGATATAAGCTTTTTTAAAAAATAAATCAGTAGAAATAAAAATTTCAACAGAAAAATGGAAGGAGAAAGAAAATGAGGATAAGAGAAGGAAGTGGGACCATCAGACCAGAAAGTGGACAAGAATCCAGAAAGAACGCACTGAAATATTCTGCATGGGAAAATTATTGAAAATGTTCCAGAACGAAGTTCATGAGTTGACAGAATAAAGGGGCTACCATGACTGTCTAGTGTATGAAATAAGAGCATTTCACATCAAATGATATTTTAAAAAGATAAAAAGGGAAGAGGGTTCAAAAACACAGACCACCACTAAAACAAACTAGAGAAGTCTTGGGAGAAGGAGGCACACCTCGGGCGGGGCGAGGCAGGGCGTGTGACAGAGGGCTGCTTAGTCAGGAGGACAGTGCATTCTGATGGCGTACTGGAAGGAGGTGAAAGGTAAGAGGTGGGGCCTGCTGGAGGAAGTGGATCATTAGGCAAGTGTTCCCGAGGCTACAGTTCTCCCCTTTCCTCTGCTTCCTGCAAGCTGAACTGCTCTGTCCAGAGTCCTCCCTGTCCTGATGGACTGACCACTCTGAAACCATGAACATGGAGCCAAAGCAAACCTTTCCCCGTCAGGATGCTTTCCTGAGGTGTTTGGTCACAAGGTCCCCCACAGAGACACTAGGAGCTAGAACTCAGTGAGAAATGCCTGCAAAACTTTGAGAATCACAATTTTCAACTTAAAATTTTGTGCCCAATAAAACAACCTATCAAACGCAACAACCACAAACACACACCCACCAAGAAAGAAAAGGAAGGAAGCATTTTCATTAAGGCAAATTCTAAGCCAATGTTACCTACCATGGGCCTTTCTCTAGGATGACAGAAAGGCCACCAAAAGGAGCAGATAAACAACAAAAGCGAAAGGCAGAGTCCAACAAAGGGACAGAAAGGGAACAGAAAGAGTGGAGTGTTGAGAATGGCGAGCTTTGGCCTGTGTCTCGCCAGGAAGTCCCAGTGAAGGGGCTGTGAGGAAAGACAATGAAAGTAAAAGAAACCCCATGTGTTCAGATCCAATGACATTCAGTTATCCCCAGTGAGCAGGCTGCAGATGCACACAAGTTAAATGACCACATGCAAGAAAGGAAGTGTCATTAGAGAAGCTCAGGCTTTGCTAATATTCATAGTTACATATAAACACAGAATCTGCCCATCACAGATAACACAGGGAGGAGGGAGTAGATCTGAGGCTTCCATATTAGCTTCCCCATCAAGAAGTAATATGTATAATGTATGCATGAGTGTATGGATACATGTATGTAAGTATTGATTTTAAACACATGGATGAAATGGCTTCATCTGGGGAACATAAATCCCAAGTGGGGAGAGACAAGACCACAAGCAGTGCTGGACAACTGTAATGTATGAGAGAATAAAGCTGAAAAAATTAAACATTTTTTAAAAGAGGGTGGTGCGTTGCAGAGGAAGGAAGAAAGATCTGCCTGGAGAACCCTAGGGAAGTCAAGTCCTGGCTCAGCACCCTGCAACCAAAAGACCCAATAGGAACCACTAACAGGTAAACGTCAGGAGCTGAAGCAGCATAAAAACCAGAACAGGGCTGGGGAGAGAAAGGGCTTGCCTTGTCCCTGGATGGGCATAGCCTTGCAAAGCTAGCCCTCAGAAGCAGAGACAGAAGGACCCCAAGGCTCACAGGGTAGTCAGCTCGGCCTACATAGCAGTTCCAGGACAGTGAAAGCTCAAGATCAAGGTGGACACCACCTGAGGAACACCCATGGCAGGTCTCTGGTGTCCATATGCACCTGCACAATCAAACACACACAACCCTCCCACACAAACATGCATGAAACACACATCCCAGCATGTACAAACCCCACATTTAAACATGCACAAAACACACACATCATAACACAGGCACAGTGGACACACATACACACACACATCCTATCCTAACATGAACAGTTCCCACACACAAACACATGCATAGTGGACACACAGACATACATATAAGCACATGCACGCAATGCACACATCCAAACAAGTCCAATCTCCATATGCAAACATGTACACACACTACACACACATCCAAACAAGTGCAATCCCCATATGCAAACATGTACACACACTACACACACATCCAAATGAGTACAATCCCCATATGCAAACATGTACAGTGCACACACACATAACATACATACCCTAACATGAACAATCCCCATATACAGACATAAACACAAATGCATATACACAACACACACATCTAAACATGCACACTCCCCATACACAAACATGCACACTGCACACACACTGACATAAACACAAACACACCGGCATACATCCTAGCATGCACAATCCCCCACAAACATGCACAGTGCACACACAAATACACATCCAAACACACACAATCCCCACACACAAACATGCACAATTTATACATATACACACATCAAACTCACATATAAACATGCACAGTACATACATAGACACATAAACCTAAACAAGCACAACCTATGTACACCCATATATACACACACATCACATATATATATCACAGAACACACACACACAAACATGCATAACTCCACACACAGTCACATGCAGACACACACACTACACCCACATCACACATACACATGATACACATCACACACAATATACATCACACATAATATACATTACACACATCACACAATACAGATAACACACAACTCACAGTGCACACCATACACATCTACCACTCACACAACATACATCACATGTACACCACACATCACACACCAAACACTGTAACACATATCACACACACATGTCCCACATACAACACACATCCCACACACAACACAGATTCCCCCCCCCCCCCCAAAACACATCCCATATGCAAGCATACGACACAGAAGGCAAACAACTATGTAGGAGTACTGACCTTCGTTTTGTTTTCTTCTGCCAGCCCTGGGGTGTCCGTGTCTGGTGGGTAGGCCACAGTGACATACACATTGTAAGGCTTCACCTGGTCACAAACAAGGTTTGCACTGTCAATAAATAGACCATTTGTATTCATCCATTAACTTGTGTGAGCTGTGCTGAGTCTTAGAAGGGGAAGGAAGGTCATCAGGCTCATGAGGGGACTGCCAATCAACTGCCACCAAAAGCACTGAGGACACCTCTCCATGATGATGACTTGGAATGGTTAGCAAGAATTCCCGACTCTAAAGTACATCAAGCCAACTCCTACTAAGGTTCTCCCTGCCTGCTGACCAGGCAAAGGCTGGGAGTTGCCCAGTGTGGACAGATCATGTTTAACCAGTGTGCTCACTCAGACTCCACCATGAACTGAGCAGAGTTTCAAGGCAGGAATAGGAGGAACAGGTCTATACCCTTATCTACAAAGTCATAGTCTTTTTGCCTTTCAAGCTGCTTCCAATACTACACTGTTAGGTTCACTTCACTTGCAGAAGACTGTGAGTCTCATTGCCTTCCCTGCTGCCCACTGCTGCATCCAAACCCAGGTGTGGCGAGGTCCTGTACCACCACCCATGGAGTGTCAGGTGGATCCCCAAAGTAGGACCAGTCAAGCAACGCTACTGCAAACATCCTCGGCAGTATTTCCATAGAGAAACTCCCCTCTGCCCTTTGACACTAAGATCTCTCATTGCATAAGGCCAGGCTATCAACTGGTGAGCCTTCTGCCAAGATGTCCCAAATGCCTGCGGTACAGGTGTGCAGCACCATGCCCGGTTCCAGGTAATTTCTCTATCAGCTCTACAGCTATTCTGCCTAATCCCAACCTCCCTCTGGCTCTTCCAAAGCTTTTCGGTTCCCTACTTTCTCTTCCCATTCAACTTCTCTACTGATGAACACACTCCAACAATCCCAGTGGACCTTCTTTTCGGGGGACAGTCTTCCAAATACTGTCCAACATCAACCTTGTTACCTGTCCTCTTACCCTGGTAATTAGTAATCCAAAGGCTCAGACCATCAAGTTCATTTTGGCATGATCCTTTTGTTTGCTGTTGACTTATGTCTCTGTCCTCATAAAGACATCTGGGGTGAAGCGGGGACAACAAGGCTAGCCACGGACAGGAAGCCTGCCCTTTATCTCCTAGGTTCCCTTAGTGACACAGCTGTGTGGCCTCAGGGGAAGTACATGGGTCAAGAGAAAGAAAGAGCAGTTGCTGGCCAGCCAGTTGAGTAGGTGCAAGAGTGAAAGCTGGCTCCTAGCCAGTGCAGCCAGGGAAAGAGGGTTCATGGCTTGGCCTTGACAGCCAGGATTCCCTTCCAGACCAGACAGTGGACCAGCTGTGACAATGACAAGCGATTTCTCTCACACTTGCTTTTCAGTTGGGAACTTAATAAAATAAAATAAAACATTTTCTCTAGTAGTCTCGCTTGGTCTGTATTAGGACTAGAGAAAAATGGCTCAAAAAAAAAAAGTGAGTAAATGATAATTAGGTAACTCACAAAGACCAACAGAGGCTCCTCAGACCTACTCTGTGCCCCCAAATCCACCAAGACCAACGGAAGCTCCTCAGACCTACTCTGTGCCCCCAAATCCACCAAGACCAACAGAGGCTCCTCAGACCTACTCTGTGCCCCCTAATTCACAAGACCAACAGAGGCTCCTCAGACCTACTCTGTGCCCCCTAATTCACCAAGACCAACAGAGGCTCCTCAGACCTACTCTGTGTCCCCCCCAATTCACCAAGACCAGCAGAGGCTTCTCAGACCTACTCTGTGTCCCCCCAGTTCATCAAGACAGACACTGACTTCTCAGACCTACTCTGTGCCCCCCAATTCATCAAGACAGACACTGACTTCTCAGACCTACTCTGTGCCCCAAAATGCCACAGTAAGAATTGTAGTGTTTATTAAATCAAAACGATTTTCAAAGTAATGATTCTCCAACTCAAGGCCATGAATGAGTCACCAAAAGTTAGAACTGTTCTCTCATGGGAAGGAACTGTAAATACCCGGATGGAAAAGAATCAGACAATCCCATTTCAAGCTAGCATTCTCTCTGCAATCCAGTCTATGGCTGGATGCTTCCAGCGACGAACAACTTGACATTATGCAGTCTTTGGTTTGTTTACCCAGCAAAGTCTTACTAAATTACTACGATGTGTCAACACAGCCCTAAGAATGGGTATGAACTGAATGGACAGCTCTCTGTATCTTATATAGTTCCTGGTCTCCTGATATTCTTGTTCACAAAATTGCAAAAAAAATCAGTCCATACAAATTTATGCCCACATTTTTCTTTAACTGTCCATATCATAACCCAACCAAAAGGAAAGATTAGCTTACACTCAGTTCTGAGCCATGACAAGTGTGATGCCTGCCTAGCTATTCTTTCTCCCTGCCCCTGCGGAATGGCCATTTTCTCCCCTTCTGCTCTGTCTCTCCCCCATCCTATTCCATTTTCTCTCTTCTACTTGGCAATGGGTGGCTTGCCTAAGAACAAGTTTATCATTAAAAAAAAAAAAATCCACTTAAGAGCTGTTCTTCCTGGTTCTATTAAAACAAGAACTCATCCAAGCAGACACTCTAGCCTTCAGCTTACTGCTCCACTCTGGTGGAAAGAGATGGGGAAGGGGCTGTACATTCTCAGGAGGGCAAGCAGGAAAAGCACCTGGGTTGGGGTTTGCTGTTGTGTTGTTTTAGTGGAATCTTGAATACAACCCATTTCATAAATATACTTGCCAAAAGATCAAGTTTTAAAAAGATCTTTAAATAATATATTTGTATCTAAAAGACTGGAAAAGAAAATTCAATCCCAAATACCAACAAAGCATCCGATTAAACACACCATGCCCAGATTTCCAGGGGCTTACTTCAGTTTGGGGAACAGGGAGATAAACAGAAGACTTAAAATACTAATTGAACTGAAAAATTTACTCAGAGCATTAAGCACTTAAGCAACTATTCATAAAAACTGACCAAGTTATCCAGATTTCAAAAAAAAGATCTTAAGGAAATCTTTTGATGCAAGTTTTACTATGAACAAATTGGATTCAAAAGACTGAATTTATTTTCTCCAAATAAAATCGCAGTCTTCTTTGTTTTGTTTGCTTATTTAAGTAATAGCACTCTTGCCGGGCAGTGGTGGCGCACGCCTTTAATCCCAGCACTCGGGAGGCAGAGGCAGGCGGATCTCTGTGATCTCTGTGAGTTCGAGACCAGCCTGGTCTACAGAGCTAGTTCCAGGACAGGCTCCAAAGCCACAGAGAAACCCTGTCTCGAAAAACCAAAAAAAAAAGTAATAGCACTCTTAATGTACAGGAGTCAAGGAGACTTAGCGCCATCCAGCCACCAGCAGTGTGGACAATCGCTCTTGTCATCAGGAAGGTGAGAGGACTGGACCAGCTGTGGTGTTACTGTCCCCTCGGGAGTGAAAACCAGGGCACCCAGATGATATCTTATTGTCAGACATGGGGGAATATGGGCATATATTTTTATCTCCCAAACTCGTATGCCTACATGGATCCTGAGACCAAAACCGAAATGACTGGATGAGGCAGCTGCCAGATGCCCTGAATGACAGACATCCTCTGCGGCAGGACCTGGAAGCTTGCAGTCACAGGGTCAACCTTGTATTATCCCTGTTACCAAGTGACCATGTGAATCTGACGAACTCACCGAATTCACTAAAAACTCAACTTCCCTTCCAAAAAGAAGTGACCTGAAGAAACTTCTTGCACATACTTCACACTCGCGCGCGCACGCACACACACACACACACACACACACACACACACACAAAGAGAGAAAAGAAAGAAAGAAGAATGGTTATTTTAGAGTCCTTAAGAGTGATGGCTGCAATTTCACAGTTATGCATGCTCTGTTGACTAAGACTGCGTGTGCAGAAGCCTGAGGCTAATGCTGAGTTTTTCTGAATGATTCTCTATCTCATGCTTTGAGGTGGGATCTCTCAATTGCACTCACACTGATAAGACTAGGCTAGCCAGCTTGCTTTGCGCCCTTGTCTTCACCTTCTATGTATAAGAATTACAGGCAGACTATCACAACCACCCAGCATGTCCAAATGGAGAGCCAAACTCTGGTACTCACACTGTACCAAGCATTTCACCCTTTCAGCCAGCTCCCTAGCCCGGCATGGATCTTTAAGAAAACGGTCTATCTAACGGGATCCCTGGCTCACTGAATCAGAGGCTGACCAGTATGAGGAAGGCATCTCCAGGACTCTATGCAGCAGACAACTCCCTGCACTCAGAATCATTTTGTCTCTGTCCTGAGGATTATTTTTATGCAATAAGATCTGTTAAACCCAGAACTTAAAACTGAATTAGTTTTCTTTACACTGGTATCAGATTTCCAAATCTTTAGTGAAATTCAAACACAGGCAAAGATGCTAAAAAACTACAGTGCTCACACTGATCTGCGAGGAAGACATACAAACATAAATACGTTTACCTCCATCTGCAGAGCTTCTGCCAATCCTCTAATGGCAAACTTGGACGAAGAATAGGCTGTGAAACCGAACAGCCCCAGCTGTCCTGCCTGAGAGGACACGAACACGATTCTGCCCACCCGCCGCTCCTTCATGGTGGTGATCACTGCTCTGCTGGGGTACACGCTGCCCAGGTAGTTGATGCTCATCAATTTCTGCAAGGAACAGAGGCCATGTGAGGTGGGAACAAGGTCAACAGCCTATGTCCTTCTCAAGGGCAGTTCTGTCACTTTCCAGGATAAGTTCTCTAACAGAGACAGTGCTGGTTTGAATGAGAACGGCCTCACAGACTCATCTGTTTGTAGACTTGGTTCCTAGTTGAATAGTCAGGAAGGATTAATAGGTCTGACCTTGTTGGAGGTGTATCTCTGGGGGTGTGCTCTGATGTTTCAAAAGTCCGCACGGGGCTCAGTCTCCTCTCTCTCTCTCTCTCTCTCTCTCTCTCTCTCTCTCTCTCTCTCTGAGTGTGTGTGTGTGTCCCAGGATGTAAAGCTCTCAGCACTGCTCTAGAACTATACCCCTGTCTGGTTCCCGCCATGATGAAAACGGAATAAACCTCTGAACCACGAGCCAGTCCCAGTTAAATTTTCCTTTGAAAGAGTTGTTTGGTCATGGTGTCTCTTCACAGCCATAGAACAGTGACTAAGACAAAGCCAAAGAGACTGGTGCATGAGTCAGCGAATGACGCTGCAGACCATGCAACACTGGGGACCTACCCTTTGAAGACTAGTCTGGCCTAGTCTTCCATTCTCAGAGTGACAGTCAAAATTAGGGCTGGTCACAGGATTCAGTTTGGAAAGTGTTTTCCATGGAAGCACGAGGACTTGCGTTTGGATGCCCAGGACCCTCACAAAAGATGGGCTGGGCATCGGGCACACATCTGTAACCAAGCACTGGGAGGAAGAGGAAGGCGGAGGCAGGTAGATCCTGGAGGCTGGTTGGACAGTCCCAGCCAGTGTGGTGAACTCCATTCTTGGTGAGACTGGAATAAGGTGGAGAGAGACGGAGGAGGACTGTGAACATCAACCTTTGCCCTCACCATGCACAAACACAAATGCTCAAAACCAGCTTTCTCCTTAGAAAATGTACCCTTTGTATTGTAGGTAACATTTTATAGTGATACTTTTAGGTATGGGTATCTTGTCTCCAAATAAGTATGTATATCACATGTGTCTAGTACCCACAAAGGCCACAAAGGGGCACCGGATCTTCTACAGCTGAAGTTAAAAACAGGTGTAAGATGCTGGGAATCAAACCAAGGTATTCTAGAGTGGTAAACATCCTTGACCCCCTAAGCTTTTTTCCAGGTCCTAGAAGGTAATACTTTTTGAAAGACAGTTTTAGGAGAAAGCTTCTAAGTATTTGTAGTCCTATAAGTTCCAAGCTAAGGAAAGATAACAGAGAGAAAATGGCACCAGCTAACAGTACAGATGTGAGCTGTAGTCTTGGTGCCACTGTCACATGAGAAACAGACACTGCATTTTCTCAGCTGAAAACGGGGTTAATCTTGGAATTAGGGATTAAGAGGGAAAACACAAGCTAAGCACTAGCACAGATCCTGGTGGACAGTAAGAACTCAGTATGCACAGCTTGTGCGCTGGGACAGGTAAGAGCCCACATCATTGGCACTAGCACAGATCCTGGTGGACAGTAAGAACTCAGTATGCACAGCTTGTCTGCTGGGACAGGTAAGAGCCACATTGGCACTCACAGCTTCTCATCACTCTTAAAACCTTTGCTCACTTGAGGGTGTGACAATGCTCACGGTATCGCCTTTATACAATGAAGTCTTACTCTCTGTCATCTTGCAAAACTAAACAGCCCAGTTGGACACCTAAACATAAACCACAATGACACCCTGGGGTGACTGGGCTGTAGTCCTTTAAGCTGGCTGTCCATCAGGAAGTGGGGATAAAGAAGTGAGAGAAAAAATCTAAATATACAGCAAGCCAACAGCCAACATCAAGCTAAATGGAGAGAAACTCACAGTGATGCCACTGAAATTAGGAATAAGAAAAGGTGTTCACTCTCTCCATAGCTATTCAGTATAGTTCTTGAGATCCTAGCTAGAGCAATAAGACAACAAAAGGAAATAAAGGGATACAAATAGGAAAAGAAGAAGTCAAATTTTCACTATTTGCTGATGATATGAGAGTATACATAAGAGACCGAAAAATTCTACCAGGGAACTTCTACAACTCATAAACACCTTTTTTAATCGTGGAAGGATACAAGATTAACTCAAAAAAATCAGTAGCCTTCCTATATACAGATGATAAATGGGTTGAGAAAAAAAAATCACCCTTTACAATAGCCACAAATAACATAAAATATCTTGGGGGTAATTCTACCAAACAAGTGAAGGACCTGTTTAACAAGAAGTTTAAATCTTTTAAGAAAGAAATTGAAGAAGACACCAGAAAATGTAAAGATCTCCCATGCTCTTGGATAGGTAGAATTAACATAGTAAAAATGGCAATCTTACCAAAAGCAATCTACAGATTCAATGCAATGCCCAGCAAAATTCTTCACAGACCTCAAAAGAACCACGCTCAACTTCATATGGAAAAACAAAAAATCCAGAATGGCCAAAACAGTCGTATACAATAATTTCTGGAGGAATCATCATCCCTAACTTCAAACTCTACTACAGGGCTACAGTACTGAAAACAAGCTGGTATTGGCATAAGAACAGACAGGAGGGCCAATGGAATTGAATCGAAGACCCTGACATTAATCCACACACCTATGAACATCTGATTTTTGACAAAGAAACTAACATTATTCAATGGAAAAAGGAAAGCATCTTCAATAAATGGTGCTGGCATAACTGGATGTCAACATGTAGAAGATTGCAAATAGATCCATATCTATTGCCATGCAAAAAACTGAAGTCTAAGTTGATCAAAGACCTCAACATAAATCCAGTTACATTGAACTTGACAGAAGAGAAAGTGGGAAGTAGCCTTGAATGCACTGGAACAGGAGACCACTTCCTAAATATAACAGCAGTAGCACAGACACTGAGAGCAATCAATAAGTGAATCAATAACTGAAAAGCTTCTGTAAGGCAAGACAATTTTGTCAATAAGACAAAATGACAATCTACAGAATGGGAAAAGATCTTTATCAGCCCCACATATAAATATATAAAGAACTCAAGAAACTAGACATCAAAATACAAAATCATCAAATTAAAAATGGGGTACAGAGCTAAACAGAGAATTCTCAACAGAAGAATCTCAAATGGCCAAAGGACAATTAAGGAATTGCTCAACATCCTTAATCAACAGGGAAATGCAAATCAAAACAATTGAGATACCTAATCTTAGACCTGTCAGAATGACTAAGATAAAAAATACTGAGGGCCACTTATGTTGAGGAGGATGTGGAGTAAGGGGAACACTCTTCCACTGCTGGTGGTAGTCCAAGTTTTTACAGCCGCTTTGGAAATCAGTTTTGCGGTTTCTCAGAAAATTGGGAATCAACTTACTTCAAGACTCAGTGATACCACTCTTGGGCATATGCCCAAAGGACACAAAATCATACCACAAAGACACTTCCTCAATTATGTTCATAGCAGCACTATTTGTAATGGTCAGAACCTGGAAACAACCTACATGACCCTCAACTGAAGAATGGATAAAGAAAATGTGATATATTTACACAAGGGAGTATTACTCAGCTGTAAAAAAAAGTGACATTATGAAATCTGCAGGCAAATGGATGGAACTAGAAGAAAATTATCCTGAGTGAGGTAACCCAGACCCAGAAAGACAAACATAGTGTGCACTCACTCATAAGTGAGTATTAGACATAAAGCAAAGGATAACCAGACTATAATCCATAGCTCCAGAGAAGCTAGACCCTAAGAGGGTTATATGATTGCCCTGTGAAGGGGAATTAGATGAGATCTCCTGGGTAAACTAAGGGTGGGGGTCAGTACAGGGGAGGGGATGGGGGAATGAGAACATGAGGGAAGGGGATGGTTGACTTGGGTGAGGGACAGAGTGGAAGAATAATGAAAGAGACATCTTTGTAGTAATAGGAGCGGCAGGGCTGCGAACCCAGCACCCCAGCCACCTGCTAGCTTATGCCCGAAATAACAATACACAAACTGTATTCATTTAAACACTGCTTGGCCCATTTCTATCTAGCCTCTTCTCGGCTAACTCTTGCACCTGGACTAGCCCATTTCTTATAATCTGTGTAGCCCACGAGGTAATTTACCAGGGAGATTCTAGCCTACATCCATCCTGGGTCAGAGCTTCATCGCGTGCGTCTGGCCGGGCAAGGAGAGCATGGCATCTCTTAGCTCACTTCCTCTTCCTCCCAGCATTCCGTTCTGTCTACTCCTCCCACCTATGTTTTAACCTATGAGGGCCAGCCAAGCAGTTTCTTTATTTTTTAACCAATGACCTTCCTCCATCACATCTTGATAGAGGGAGCCATTATGGGGTTAGGGAGAAACCCAATGCTAGGGAAATTCCCAGAAATCCACAAGGATGACCCCAGCTAAGACTCCTAGCAATAGTGGAGAGGGAGCCTGAACTGGTCTTCCCCTGTCATCAGATTAGTGACTACCCTAATTGTCATAATAGAGCAAATTTCATTCAGTAACTGATAGAAGCAGATGCACTGATCCACAGCCAAGGACCAGGTCAAATTCCAGGATTCCAGTTGAAGAGAGGAAGGAGAGAATGTATGAGCAAGGTGGGTGGGTCAAGATCATGACAGGGAAATCTACAGAGACAGATAAACCAAACTCATGGGAACTCACGAACTCTAGACCAACAGCTGTGGACCCTCTGCCTGTGGGAGACAGTTGTGTACCTTGGTCTGAGGGACCCCTGGCAGTGGGACCAGGTTCTATCCCTGGTGCATGTACCCCTGAGCTGGCTTTTTGGAACCCATTCCTATGATGGGATACCTTGCTCAACCTTGATGCAGGGAGAGCGACTTGGTCCTGCCTCAACTTAATGTGTCAGGCTTTGCTACTCCCTATTGGAGGCCTTACCCTTCGGCAGAAGTGCATCGGGGGTAATTTAAGGGCGAAGTGGGGAGAACGGGGTGGGAGGTGGAGGTGTGAGAGGGAAAACTGTGGTTGGAATGTAAAATAAAATAAAATAAATAAATAATTTTTAAAAAGTATAAGGCAGGAGCTATGTAGACCATAATTCCCACTATTTTATTTTGCAAATGCCAAGAAAAAGAGAAAATATTTACTGTGTTCAGAAATTAGGATTTCTGCTTGTTTCCAGAATATGCTTTATTATCACAGCATTGTTTTCATCTTAAAAGTTATATATATGGTGTTTTGTGTACATATATGTGTGTGCCTGGTGGGCACTGGATTCTTTGGCACTGGAGTTGCAGATGTGAACTATCGGGTGGTGTTGAGAACGGAACCTGAGTCCTCTGCAAGATCAGCAGGCACACTAACCACCGAGCCATTCCTGCAGCCCCACGCCCCAAAAGCTACCTGAGAAAGAATAAGAGCATGAGCTCACCTCCGCTCTTTCTAGAGAACCCACTAAAACAGCAGTAAACAGTATGCTAATTTGTCTGTCTGTTTTGAAGACAGGGTCTTACACTGTAGCTTAGACTGTCCTGAAACTTACTTCATAGCCCAGGCTGGCCTCAAAGTCATGATTATTATCCTGTTTCAGCTTCCCAAGAGCTGGGCTTATAGGTAAGAGCCATTAGGCCCAGCTAACAGCTCAACCCCCACCTTTTTAAGAGAACAAAAAAAAAAAATGAAAGGAAAAGCAATGGCATCTTGAAATCTGGAGATCAGAATGACAAGTGGCAAGACTAGACACTAGATGTTGAACAGAGAAACTAAAAACGCAAGATTGTACAACACAAACCCCAAAGGCTTCTGGGATGGAGCTAGGCCAGGTAAAAAGATTCCAAATTTTCACTGATGATAAACAAGCAAGTACATTGCAGTATGCCACACAATGGGACCATTACCAACCCATAAAATCGAATGACGCACTGATATATACTACAGCATGAAGGGACCTTGAGAACGTTATGCTATGTGAAGGAAGCCAGACGCCAGAGGGATACATCACATTTTCTACTAGTCAGCAAGACACACACAGGTTAGCAGTAGCCAGGATCTGGGGCAATGAGAAATACTGACTACAGTGCAGGGTATCCTTTGGGGAGACAAAAATGTCTTGGCATTAGATGGCTAAACAACATCACAATATGATAAACGCCTTCAAATTGTTGACTCTCAAATAGCCAAATTTGCCAGGCGACAGTTGACAAAGAGCCATGCTAACAGCGTTTAGGAAGCTGAGGCAGAAGTGCAAGAGGCCAGCCTGGTGTGCACAGTGACATGGTGTCTTAAACAAACATACCTCAGTGATTTATCAGGGTTTCAGTTCACTTTTTGAAAACTGACATAACAACAAAAAAACAGTTAAATTTTAGTGGTATCCTGCTGGCAGAAGACAAACTTTCTAGAAAGGACTGACATACATTAAGTGAGTTAGACTTCAATGTGCCTAGAACATCTCTGTAGACACTGAATGCAGACTCCATTCTAACAGTGGGGCATGCAGTTTTTTCCCAGGCCTACGTCACTTCTCTGGGGCTTTGGATAAATTAGAGAGAAAGACCTACAGATACTGACCCCTGTAGATAGAAGTTTCTTTCCCGCCTTGTCCCATAGCCTTTCAGTCCCAAAGAAACACACAGAGGGTTAAATTAATTATAAACTGTTTGGCCTATTAGCTCAGACTTATTATGAACTAGCTCTTACAACCTAAATTAACCCATAATTCTTATCTATGTTTAGCCATATGGCTTGGTACCTTTTCTCAGTGCATTATTTTCATCTTGCTTCCTCTGTGTCTGGGTGACAACTGCAGACTAAACCTTTCTTCTTCCCAGAATTCTCCTGGTCTGATCGTCCCATCTATACTTCCTGCCTGGATACTGGCAAATCAGTGTTTTATTAAACCAGTATGAGTGACAAATTTTCACAGGGCACAAATGCATTATCCCATAGCACTTCCCCTTTTTTCCTTTCAAAACAAGAACTCTGACTCTAATCTCCTTTGTTTAGCTTTCTTCCTGACCATTATAACAACTTGTAACTAACACTCTAAACAAAGACAAGCATCCATAATCCATTTTTTGGGAATGCTGACATAGATTTTTAGGCTACTTCCTGATGACTGGGTGTGCTGATAATTTTATGGGGACCTAAAGAAAATTTAGGATTATGGTCAAGTCCTAACTGGAGTATTCTGTGAGCCTGGTTGATCTCAGCCAGCAGTCTTGAGGCTGTTCTGGATGTAGAACTCAGAGGAAACTGTAACAGAGGTGCACTGAAATGCTGGATCATCTGGACCATCTGTTTCCATTGGAGATTTTTCAGGGGGTCTTCCTTGATCAAGCAGTGGGTAAACAGAGACTGTACTTTCATTTCTCGGCTGCCCAGACCCAAATAATCACAGAAAAACTTTATTAATTACAACACTTTGGCCAAGAGGCATATTTCTAGCTAGCTCTTATATCTTATATTAACCCATATCTATTAATCTGTGTATAGTCATGAGGCTGTGGCTTATTGGTAAGGTTCTGGCATCTTTCTCCTTTGGCAGCTACATGGCATCTCCTTGACTCCACCTACTCTCTCTATCTCTGTTTGGATTTCACACCTGGTTTTACCCTGCTAAGTCATTGGCCAAAACAGCTTTATTTATCAACCAATAAAAACAACAAATATACACAAGGACATCCCACATCAGACTCCAAGCACCCCTAAGACATGGACAAACCATCACCCTACAGAGGGCTCCACCCATGGACACAGAACTCTCCATCCAGTACAATATGAAAACACAGGCAAGGGTCAACAGACACCCAGGGAAGCCTTCAACACAAAACACAACACCAGCCTCTCCAAAGAAACAAACACATACATGAAGGAGTGATTCTGGTAGAACAAAAGATGATCCAACATTCACAGCACAGGTAAAGATAAGATACACCTCCAGGAAACTCAGAAGGAAACCATTAAAAAAAGAATAAAGAGAAGGGTATAGGGGTCCTTGAGACCAAGCCAGATTTGGTCATTCACTGAAGTCTCAAAGTCCTCAGCATACAGCAATAGAGGATTTATTACAGGGAAAGATTACAGACAAAATTGCAGAGGAAAAAGGCATCAGAGTGAAGGCCAGAATGAAGCAGGTGGAGTATCAGAAATGTCACCCAAAGGAGCCACATGGGACCAACTGAATCACCCCAGTCATGAGCTGTGTCTCTTCAGTGACAACATCAAATACTCAACTTAGATTTGCACACTCAGTTGCTTCTATTTCCATTCAAAGCTTCATAAAACACCCATGTGATTTCACTAGCATGGCTATCTGAGACATAAATGTAAACACGCCCATCCCCCCTGCTCCACACACACACACACACACACACACACACACACACACACACACACACAACCTTACTTCCTGGTGTCTCAGCACTCAATTTAGTAACTATTTATTCCTCCATCCAGTTTTTAATCCCTGTTCGCAGTAGAGTCTGAATATTCTTACGGCATCATCTTATGCACATGTGCGCACACACGCACACACAAATCAGATAAACACACAGATATATACATATCCACACACTCATTCCTCTTTTTCTGGGTATCCCCAAGTCTTTTGCTTTACTATTTCATATTTAGACTACAACAATGATTTTCCCAAATTGATTATTTACATAGCTGATGATGTCATCTTTCAAATCTCACCGTCATTGTTCCCAGATGAACGTACATAAGTATAAACAACTCTCCTGTATGCCAAGCTGATAATGGTACCTCAGAAATGCAGGTCCTACCGTTTTGCTTATTGCTACCCTCTGATTGTCCTGCAAGTCTTGAGTGCATCTGTGAGTGCACGGTACTTCCTAGAGCCCATGAAAAGATAGCCTTACTGCTGGTCTAACAGTCTCATTCTCTTTAAGAAAGGAGAGTAATTTAACTTAACAGAGTCAAGATTTCAAGCCCCATTACCCTAATGGAAGCTTAGAGAACACTAAAAACAAGACTGATGGATTGCCAACCACAAAATGTTTTGTACTTAGGTTTCAAATCTAATGTCCATTTCTTCGGTACTAAAGTAAATTAGTAGTTGAGATTCTTGGTGGGCCTATTTTAAAACAGAAGCTACATCATCTTGACTCCAGGTAAACAAATACCTGCCACTTACCTCAAAACTACTAACTTCAAGCTCTTCAAACTTTCCTGACAGAGATGTTCCTGCACAGTTAACCAACATGTCCACAGGACCCAGCTTCTCTTGTGCCTGGAAGAACAGTCCAGAACATTACATACTGTTTCAAACATTACATGACAGAATGGAAGAGTCACTGTGTAGAAAAACAAGGTCAATAAATAAAATCCACTGAACCACTGAACCTGCAAAAAGAGTTGCTAGCTCCAAGTCACCAAAATGTAGGAAGTACTCAGAAGTCAAGGACTGAACTGGAATCACCTGAATAGCCTCTTACCTGTTTTATGACATTCTCCACTTGGTTATAGTCTTGAGACACATCGACTGAGATACAAAGAACCACCTGTTAAAAAAAAAAAAAAAAAAGGAAAAAGAGGGAAGGGTTCAGGGCCTGCCAGGAGGCTTATCAGTAAGGTTGCTCGCCACCAAATTTGATGACTCGAGTCCTATTCCTGGGACCCACATGGTGGAAAGGGAGAACTGACACCTTCGAGTTATTCCGCCCCCCCCCCGTGTCTGTCTGTCTCTCTCTCTCTCTCTCTCTCTCTCTCTCTCTCTCTCTCTCCCCCTCTCTTCCTTTCACACACAATAAGTGTAAAAAATAATATTGGATACAGAGGTGTCAAAACTTGTGTTTTTTGAGACAGGGACTTATTGGCAGAGGCTGCTTGTTTGTTCCCTGTTTCTCGACCCAAAATAATCACATAGAAACTGTATTAATTAAATCAGTGCTTGGCCTATTAGCTCTAGCTTCTTATTGGCTAGCTCTTACATCTGAAATTAACCTATTTCCATTATTTTATATTTTACCATGATGTTTGTGGCCTACAGGCAAGGTTCCAGCTAACAGCTCATGTCTTTCTCCTCTGGCGGCTACGTGGCTTCTCCCTGACTCTGCCTACTCTCTGCCTATATATCTCTTCCAACCTGGCTAAATTCTGTTAAGCCATTAGTTGAAAGCAGCTTCTTTATTAACCAATGGCAATAAAACATATTCACAACATATATCACGTCCTCTTTCTGTCTAAATTAAAAGGAAGATTTTTAACTTTAACATAGCAAGATTACATATAACAAAACAAGTATCAAGCAAGAATTACAGTTACAATATTTATATCTACTTTATCTTTTATCATAACTAAGGAAAACTAGAACTGTCTATTCTTCAACTCCATCAAAGACTCTAGAAGGATATAATACATTGTAATCAACTTCCAAAACTCTACAATCGACAGAGACATCTTGATGCCTGGACAGTCACCCAAAGTTCTTCTGTATCATTGGAGCATCCATCTTCAGCCTACAGGCCCATAATATCCCAGACTTTTTCATAAAACAGGAAATTTCAAAGACAGTTCTACCTATATTGGCAGTTTGTCAGTCACTTTCTTCTGTGTTCTGCAGAATGTCTTGCAGAATCTTTCATGAAGCAGCAACCCTGACCATCTCACCTTTAGGCAAGTTCAGCAGTCATTTTTCTGTGGGCCCTGCATGTCCAGTTCATAAAAAATAACATCAAGCAGTCCAGGCAAGAGCAGTTTCTTGTCCAAATGGATAACCTACTCCATCTATAAAGAGCCTCTTCAATGCCCATCTTCCTCTTGAAGTTATTGGTATTGCCAGGAGCAGACATGTCTCATTGTTATGAAAAGTCCTAAGCTCTTAAAACATTTTAAATGCCATATTCTGAAGGTCTCTGAAATATCTGAAGAATACCTATCTATCTGAAATAGATCTCTATATAGCTAGAAAACCTAACATGACTATAAGTTTGACTATTATAGATTATCTATTAACCTATATTTCTTAACTATACATTGTATTTTTAAATGAGCTGCACAAACAAAATACCTTAATCAAGAACAGAAATAAACATCCAAAAATTGACCTAAAATTTGTATCAAAAGACCAAGATTCATACCAATAAAAACCTTTATAGCATATCTCCCCTTTAAATGTAAACGAACACTTATAAGCAATATTTGGGGAATTTGGGCATAGTTCTCTCCAAACTGCTTCCTGCTTTATGTTGGGCAAAGTAATTTTGGGGGGTGTTCACAGTGACCTTTCGGGGGGGTCTTGGTCCATCACACCACATTAGCCTGGAGGAAATCCATAGGTTCTCATCTTCTGTGGAAACAAAAGAAGAACCTCTTTTCCAAAACAACAAATCCTTGGACTCAAATTTTGAAATCAAGATACATCTAAAGTATGTATGTTGGTTTACCTTAGCAGTCCATACAATGAAATGTCTCTCTGTACTTAGCTCCTTCCCAGTCAAAAAATTCAAAGAAAGCACAATAATATACATAACCCAGACTCTTTGCACATATTCCATTTTAGGTGGCTTATTTTTCTTACTCTTATTACTTTTTTTAAAAGCTTAATATTTATTTTATTATCTTTACTCCTTTAACCTATGGCTGTTTGTACTCTTTTATAACTGTCTAGTCTCTTTTTCCTCTCTCTCAAGCCTAGGTACATTTATCCAACTCTTTGACCTATTTAGAGGTCTTTTCCATCTAGATTTGTCTTTATTGTGTGTCTGCAATCCTTTTCTGATTAGGACCACTTCTTAAAGTGCAAAGCAGCATGGTTAGGACTAAAGCCGCTTGGACTTTTGGCTCCACCCACTCCAACATGGCAGTGGCATGTTCCCTGTCTCTGAGAGCCATGAACATTGCCCCATTTTCAAGCACACAGTGGGTCTCTGTTACCATTAAGCAAATTGTAGCACTCTACTCACAAACCCCATTAAAATGCTCTGTAGCTGGACCTCCTAAAAGAGCCAAAGCCGTTTGTTCTGGCGAACCAGGAAGCTGTAGTTTTTAAAGATGCCACACAGTTTTTACTGCAACTCTCATAAGGAACCATGGCACCAATGTAGGCAGAGTGGTATCAGTTACTTTCTCCCCAACCCCTATAAGCACACAAGCATCTAGACCTGAAGTAGGTGGTGGGCATCAGCCTTACGTATTTCAGACCACATTGGTATGCCAATTTGTTGGCGAAGGCTGCTTGTTCATTCCCAGCTGCCTGGAACTGAAATAATCACACAAAAACCATATTGTTTGCAATACTGTTTGGCCAATAAGCTTAAGTGTATTTCTAACTAGCTCTTATATCCTAAACTAACCCATCTCCATTAATCTGTGTATCACCACACGGTCATGGCCTACCAGCAAAGTTCCAGCAGGTGGCTCGCATCTTTAATCCAAGCACTTGGGAGGCAGAGGCAAGCATCTCTATGAATTCAAGGATAGCCTGATCTACAGAGTGAGTTCTAGGACAACCAAAGATACACTGAGCAACCCTGTCTTAAAAAAAAAAATTAAAAGTAAAAATAAGAGAAATTGAGTTTAAAATAAAGCCACATAGCCGGGCGGTGGTGGCGCACGCCTTTAATCCCAGCACTCGGGAGGCAGAGGCAGGCGGATCTCTGGGAGTTCGAGGCCAGCCTGGTCTACAAGAGCTGGTTCCAGGACAGGAACCAAAAGCTATGGAGAAACCCTGTCTCGAAAAATAAAAAAAATAAATAAATAAATAAATAAAGCCACATAAAGATGGAAAATACATAGAGAGTCTGGATACTGTTATGTTATTGTGTTGTCTTTGAATTGTTTAATGGCTGAGGAAGGAGCAACAGCTGCTAAAAGACATCTGATTATAAATGCTGCTGGATTAATCCAACACATATATTTTGAAACTGTCTTGACTTCAGAATTTAAGTCAAAAGATATGTTAATTTGGAGAAGATATTTTTGCTTTTGTTTTCACAGGAAATGAGAGGCTGTGGATTCATTCTGGGTTAATAAAAATCAGGTTTGATCACGGAAGACCCCCTGAGAAATCTCCAATAGAAGCAGATGGTCCAGATGATCCAACGTTTCAGGGGACTTCTGTTGGAGCGTCCTCTGAGTTCTACATCCAGAACACCCTCAAGATTGCTGGCTGAGATAATCAAGCATCACAGAAAATTCTAGTCAGGACTTGACTATAATCCTAAATTTTCTTTAGGTCCCCATAAAATTATCAGTACCTCCAATCATCAGGAAGTAGCCTAGAAAACTATGCCCACATTCCCAAAAAATGGATTATGGATGTTTATCTTTGTTTACAGTGTTGATTACAAGTTGTTATAGAGAATGATCAGAAGCCAGGCAGTGGTGATGCACACCTTTAATCCCAGCACTTGGGAGGCAGAGGCAGGCAGATCTCTGTGAGTTCGAGGCCAGCCTGGTCTACAAGAGCTATTTCCAGGACAGCCACCAAAGCTACAAAGAAACCTTGTCTTGAGAAAAAAAAAAAAAAACAGAGAGAGAGAGAGAGAGAGAGAGAGAGAATGATCAGGGAGAAAGCTAAGCAAAGTAGATTAGATTCAGAGTTCTTGTTTTGAAAAAAAGTGTGGGGTGGGGGGAGTGCTGTGGGATAATGGTCTTGTACCCTGCAAAGATCTGTCACTTGTATTGGTTTAATAAAATGCTAAGTGGCCCGTAGCCAGGCAGGAAGTATAGGACAGGAGAATTCTGGGAAAAGGAAAGGCTCAGTCTGCAGTTGTCATCTAGATGCAGAGGAAGCAAGATGATGATGCCTCATTGATAAAAGGTACCAGCCACGTGGCTAACACAGACAATAATTATGCGTTACTTTAAGATGTAAGAGTTCATGAGAAGCCTGAGCTAATAGGCCAACCTGTTTATAATTAATGTAGACCTCTGTGCATTTCTTTAGTACTGTATGGCTGCAGGACCAGGCAGGACAGAAACCTCTGTCAACAGGGTCTGGCTGCATAGTGTGAGCTAGTCTTAAACTTAGCATATAGCCCACCATAGCTTGATCCTCACAGCGATCCTCCTGTTTCAGCCTTTCAAATATTGAGATTACAAGGCTGTAAGGGTACACCACACGCTTGGTCTATCAAAACTGTTTGTAAAAGATATTTTTTAAAATAAAACCAACTCTTTCCAATAATGAAGGTCAAATCTGGACATAAAATCTCAGTGTCTGAAATCTCCTGTCAGTGCCATTAATGGAAAAACACATCTACGAAATAATATGCTGGTATGGGGCTGTGGCAAGAGAGATGATGGGTGCCACAGCAAACAGGCAGGCATTTGGGAAGTCTGGTATTAAATTTGAATCCCTGGTGCTTGGTCTGTGTTGTTATTGGCAGCTGGCAGAACTTTTAAAAGGCAGGCCCTAACACAAAGAATTTAGACCACTGAGGTGTGCCCTTTAAGGGTAGAGAGGATACTGAGGACTACCTCCCCCATTTCCCAGTCATTAAGAGATGAGCAACTTTGCTTTTTTGCCTTGTTACACACTCCAAAGCAATAGTCATTTTTGAGCATGTGCACAAGGAGACCACACTGAAAAGCTGCCTGACAGCAACAAACATGAAAATGTGGAAGCATCTTAGTCACCTATTACAAACAGATAAGTAAAAGTGGTTTGTGCATACAATTACATGTTATATGACAATAACAATACATTCTAGTGAAGGTGGGTATAATGATGCATGCCTATCATTATATACAGTTAGGAGGCAGAGATTGGAGAATCATTTGAGCCTTGGGATTTGAGACTAGCCTGGACAGCATAGCCAAAGAAAGAGCCATCTCTAAAAAAGATAACACATGAGCTATTTTATCCAGCAGCACAGATGAATTTTAAAAATAATATAGAATGAAGAAATAAAGTTGCGTAACACTGCATAAAAATGTTACAATATCATATCAATCTATTAAACTATAAAGTTTATTGGCACTTGCCTAGTAGGAGTAGGGCAGGAATAGGGAGTGACTGCTAACAGTGGAATGGAGACTTCAGTGCTGGGAACATTCCAAAACTGATTGTGGGTATGGTTGCACAACTCTGTATAAAAACTCAGGAAACGTGTATCTTAAACATTGCAACTGCACACTGTGTGAATAGTCTCATGAAAGCAAGATAAGAAAACAAGAACAATGCCAAAGGTCTAAAAGATAAAAAACTTTAAAATATAAATATATAAAAATATAACTACATATATATGTTTACTATTTAGGGGTTGAGATGGCTAGTTGTCAAGATGCTAGTTATGCAAGAGTAAGGTCTTGAGTCCTGGATCCTCAGCCCCCACGGAGTCTCAGTGCTGGGGCTGTAGAAACAACCAAGCCTGCTGGCCAGCCAGTCTAATGAATTCATGTGCTCCAGGCTCACAGAAAGACCCTTAAACACTATCTGGGGACACACACACTACCACAGATGACAAAATTTTAAAGAAAAGCAAAGAGTGAACAACATCAAAGCCGAGTTTGAAGTGGTCTCTAAGAAGAAGAGGCTGGCTGGAACTGGGCACAAGGCTGGGGGAGAAGGGGTCAGAAACTCCTTTGTATCCCCCTTCTTTAAACCAGATGATGGCTGTGCAGTAGTTAGCCCGTCACTGAGCTACACATAAAGATATACATGCAGTGCATATCATTTTGGCACCCCAAATTGCACAACTCATTTTTTCATATGTCCACCTAAGCAGTTGTTCAAGCTATTTTTGTTTGTTTGTTTTTTAATCATTTGGTTTCTGTACGAAGCCAAATCCTAGCCATTGTAAATAATTTTACCTCTTTAAAAGGCAGCCTAAAATGTATTTTAACTGGGAAAGTCAAAAAAGCCTCCAGTGATCTACTTGCAAAAGAAGTACCCTTTCTCCCCTTTAGACAACTGTCAATCAGGATAGAAAATGAATCCTAAGGCTCACCTTACCTGTTTATCATTAATAGAGTGCTTTTCAATTTCTTTCTTCGCCTGCAGCAGCTTGTCCTAAAAGCAATACAGAAAAAATTATGCTGCCTGCATTTGCTTTTTAGGAAAGAAAAGGTAACTGTTGGAACAGATACTATAACCCAGAGTAGCTAGCAATGGGCTTAAGAAAGAAAGGAAAAATATGTGACGCTATGGATAGTCACAACCTGAGATGAAAGAAAAGTAAATGAAGTCAGATCCGAATTAACAGTACTCATGTCGATGGTCGGTTCATGGCTGCTAACAGCAATTGGCAGGGACACAGAGAGCAGAGACACAGCAACACGATGTTCTGGAAGTTAAAGGTGTGTGACGGCTTATGTACGGTAAATCAGTATTTTCCTCCTCTCCTTAAGAACAGAGTAAGAAGCCATTACTCTTTTAAAGGTCTGGATAATACATGTCTGGGTACTTTCAAAAATACTCCTCAAACCTAGAGAGTTACTCAGAACATTGTGAAGTTTTTCCAAGTCCTCCATTTTGTTTTGTTATTTTTAAAAAAACAGACCTGAGCTTACAGAACCTTAATTTTTCATAGATTTAAATATAATTTGAGAGCTGTAACAGAACAAAGGGGTAAGGTCCCAGCACGCAGGAAGCCCTGGGATTAATACCCAGCAAGACTAAAACCAAGCCTGGAGAAACACAGGACCAGAGGATACAGAGGTGGGCCAATCAGAAGTCGGATACGGCCACAATCTGCTAGCGGGACACAAGAGACTGTCTCATGAAGGGGTAGGGGGGCATCTTCAAGGGACAAGCAAAGTTTACAAACACGAATGTCACGACAAAATCATACATCCTATTGAATGCTGGGGACTGATTACAGACAGTACATACTTCCTGGAGAGATGATATGCAAAACTAATGAATGTCTTCATGTCAGAAAGCTCTCGCTCTTGTACTCAGTCAAACATGGCCCCGTGTGAGTTCCTGCTAGATGGGAACCCGGCCTCCCACCCGCTAGCTGGGGTACCGGCCTCCCACCTGTTCCTTCGCTGTTCTCATGCCAAATCACAGCCTTGCTAAAACTAAAACCCATCAAGTGGCACTGCACTACACCCGTGTTTCCATTCATGTTGGGGGTCTCTAAATTGTGTATAACTAAGCAAAGCACTTTCTTCTTTTTAAAAAGAAACTTGATATTTTAGCTTAATTCTGGGTCATTAGTTTCATGTATTTTCTCCAGAGATCCTGTCTGGCCGGCCTTCCCCACCAGGCCTTTTCAACTAAGCACCCCTACCTAGGCAGCTGATCGCCCAGGCAGAGGCACCACAGCTCATTTTCTTTCTCTTCCCTCTCCCTTAAGGGTCTCCTGTAGGCCAGGCTAGCCTCTAATTAGCTATCTAGATGAAGGTGACCTTGAACTTCTGTTCCTTCTGGTGCGCGTCCCGAGTGACAGTCACAGGCCTGCACTTCACACTGAGTTCTACCTGGAGTTGACACACACCCCAGGGAAGCATTCAGGCAACCAGGCGCCAAGCCCCTGCTTTCATTTCCCTGTTCAACAGAACTGTCTAGGTCTTCTACAAGCCAGGCAGAGCAGCGACCATACAGCCATGCCCCTGCCCCATCCACTGAAGAGGAACAGAAGGGTTTCAGTCACTGCTTTGGCAAGACTACGGACCTCCAATATAAAGAAAAACAGCCCCCCCCCCATCCCAGGGCTGGAGAGATGGCTCAGAGGTTAAAGAGCACTGTCTGCTCTTCCAAAGGTCCTGAGTTCAATTACCAGCAACCACATGGTGACTCACAACCATCTGTAATGAGATCTGGCACCCTCTTCTGGCGTGCAGGCATACATGGAGGCAGAACGTTGTATACATAATAAATAAATAAATCTTAAAAAAAAAAAAAAGAAAAGTAGCCCCCTGAATTGGTTAGACACAGGAAAAACTACATTGCTATACACATTGGAGGGATGAAACTCACCTGGGGCACGTGGACTCCACCAAAGATGCCTATCATGTCATAAGCAAATTACAGAGAGAAACGATAGATAAGCACCTACATACCACCTTCTAAGCTGCCACCACCAGCACACCTGTCTGCCTTGGGCCAGATGGCTTCTTATCAATGTCTTCATCCTCCCCTCAAGTTCAGGACTACCTGGAATGATAGTGCCTGGGATGTCAACAGCAGTAATAAATCCCTGCTGAGCTGAGAACTTCAGCAGGGAAGTCCTTGGCCTCAATACAAGAAAGAAGCAACAGTGCCGAAGTCACACCTTAGATCGGGAGGAAGGCATCTCAGCACAGGTGTGAGCACCAAGACAGTCTCTTGAACTTACTGTGTTAGTAAGTTAGTCAGTAGGACCTTATACCACTTACCTCATTTCGTGCAACCAGAGTTATAAATGCTCCTTGTTTGAAGCACTCGATAGCAATGCACTTTCCGATGCCACTGGAACCTCCTGTGACCTACAAAGAACACCCATGAGACCATCTTAGCACCTGCGCAAAGTCTACTTAAAACATCTGTGATGGGAATAGTAGGAGTGTAGCTCAGCTGCAGGCCCTGTTCATGAGCGTGTAGCTCAGCTGCAGGCCCTATTCATGAGAGTGTAGCTCAGCTGCAGGCCCTACTCATGAGGCCCTGGGTCTGAGCTCCATGGAACATATATCACATAACCTAGTTAGGGGTTTTAGTAGGAGTGTAGCTCAGCTGCAGGCCTATTCATGAGGCCCTGGGTCTGAGCTCCATGTAACATATATCACATAACCTAGTTAGGGGTTTTAAAAACTCATCTACAAGCTGGATGTGGTGGCACTCACCCACAAGCCTAGCACTCAGTATTCACAGGTGATCATGAGTTTAAGGTTGACACCCTTTGCATGGGCAGTTTCAAGATACGAGGACTACGTGAGGTCCTGTGTCAGAAACAAAACAAACCACAAAACCTGCAAGAACTACAACCTCTTTACCAGATGTATCATTTGGAATAGTGCAAGAAGGAAGGATTATACTTCCACTATGGGCACTATGAGCTCGCCTGCTGCTGGGAGCACCAACTGAGCCATTTTCCCGGCCCTTAAATGTAACCTCTTTAGCAATGATTTTGAGGGCAGTTCTCTTGTGGATGTAAAACTTCAAAACTTGGCATGATTATAAAGTCTGGCTTTCTCTTTTTAATAACTCCTTCCACATCACACACAACAGCAGCCGGGAAAAACTAATAATTTTACAAAGGATAAATGAATGGAAACACATGTTGTCACCCACAAACCCGTGTATGGGATAAAGCACACTAAAATAAATAGCCACCGTATCAGTGGAGTGAGAACTCACTTGGCTACATTCACATAAGCCATCTATGGGCACTCAGGGGATGCATGGTGCCAGTTTAGAAACTATCTGCTCTTATTCACAACTCCTTGCTTCAGTGTGCCTCAGGTTTTGCGGTCTATACAAGACATGGCCAGGGTTGAAGCCCTCAACTTGGGGGAAGAGGCATAACTAAGCCTGCACATTAGGAATGTGCGAGCTTCCGGCCAGAAACAAACCGAACTACTCATGTATGTCTCCTTCCATCTTAAGGCCCTAACTAAGCTGGTTAGCTCATCCTTCCGACTCCGGAAAGACTGTAAAGGATTACATCGGAGCAGCAATCAGCAAGGCTCCCGGGGCTGATCTCAGAGACAAGCCTGCTGGCCCAAGCTGCCAGGCCACCCTCAGGTGTGTCACTTCCTAGAACCCTCTGGCCCTTGGTCACCTGCACATGCCACCCTCCAGTCTCAGCTTCCTGGCCCAGTCCCAGAGGCCTGGACCCTTCCTTGCTGCGGGCTCCTTAGGACTCCCTGGCAGTGGCTGCTCCCACTCGGATTCGCGCCCTCATCCTGCCAGCCACCGACCGCTGTGTCCTTGGCAAAGTTTCAGTCTCTCTGTGGACTGACTCGTCGGGAGAACTGAAGACCCAAACAGTTCCGCTGATGAGCGAGCAGCACAGAGCCCCGGAGCCCTGGGAACTCGGCGGGCACCTTCTCCGTGGCACTGCTCTGCAGCCCAGGGAGGAGCCAGGCGCCGCCGTGGGCGGGTTCCTGAGGCCAGGAAGGGCAGGGCAGTGCCGGGGTGGCGGCGGCAGGTGAGGCTTCCCACTCGACTACCCCTTCCAAGGACCGTGGCCTCGGTGGCCCAAGTTCGCCAAGCAGCCCCGAGCAAGAGCAACAGGAGGCCACTCACCACTACGTGCGCACCGGGCAGCGCGAGGGGCTTGGGGCTGATGAGCGGCGACACCATGTAGAGGAGCAGCACGAAGGCCACGAGGCCGGCGGCCGCCAGCAGCAGCATCTCTCGGCCAAACGACCACAGGCAGATCACGCGCACTAGCACCCGGAGTGTTTGGGTTTGCGGGCGAGGGCGGGACGGCGGCGAGGGGAAGAGGAGGAGCCGGGGCGGGGTGGGGCGGCCTCCGCCGTCGGACTGGCTTCTGGGTCCGCGCCCCCCAGCGTCCGGACTCGGCTGCGCAGGCTCCGTGTGGGTACCGTGGGCCCTCCCGCCAACGTCGTGGGAGGTTTGCAAGCGGCGGTTTTCGGATCTCCGGATCTTGTTTCGTGCCAAAGTCCCGCGATTCCACTCTGAAATCCGAGGTTCCAGTTCGTAAATTCCTGGAGCACTGAGAAAACGGTCAGGGTTTACTTTCGCTGTGCGCCTTGACTTGGGGTTGTGCTGACTGTATTTCAATGAGGACAGTGTTCACCTTGTTACCAAGGCAGATACAATCAAAAACAAGCCGTGGTGGCGGAGATTTAATTCGCGTACCAGAACATACGATTCACCGATTTAAAGTGGTTTTAGTATAGAGAGTGTCTAACTATCGCCACAATCAGTTTGTCGACCGCCACAGAACTCCTGTAATCATTAGCAGTTACAACCACCGCATTTTCTCTTAAATCGTGCCCAGTCATAGGCAATCACAAGGCTGTCTCTGCATTCGCCTATTAATACAAATGGAGTTCTAAAAATATGCCATCTGTTGTGCTGGCTTCTTTGACTTAGCATAAAGCTTTAAAGTTTCTTCCTTAGTATGCCTACCAGAATTTAATTTCTTTTTACTGCCGGTAGTATCCTACTGTAGGCTGGATCACATTTTTTACATTCATCATCTTTTGCTCACCACCACCCCCCCTCCCAAAACAAACGTACAAACAAACAACCCTGCTCCTGGGCTCAACAGATCAGGGCTCTGGCTATGAAGCCTGAAGATATGTGACCACCAGCGGCCCGCAAGAGAGAAGACTCCTGGAGGTTGTCCTCTGGCCTCCACTAGTGCGCGTGGCGCTCACTACCACCATCACACTCACTGAATTAATTTAGTAAACTCTACGGCAGGGTGTAACTTCATATACAGCACGTGTGTGAATGTTTGTGTGTGGGTGCGCACGCACATTTTTGTTTCTCTTGTGTTGAGACCCAGGTCAATTGCTGGCTCCATGCAAGTCTTCTTAAGCTCTGAGTTCCAGACTTTCCCACCCTACACTCCTCTGTATTACTAAAATCTTTCCGCTGGATACTTCTTTTGGGGAAAGGGAGTAAGGTACATATTTTTGCTTCCTTACTTTGTTTTTAAAGAGAAATCCAGTTGTGTTTACAAACAGCAAAAGGAATTGATCTTTTTCTCTCATTGATCTCAGTGCCCGGTATTAACCTGATAGATTTGAGGACACAGTAGTCCCCTGAACTTCCAAAACTAGTTGTAAGTTGAAGAGTGCCCAAACCCTTCGACTGAAGGGAAGCTTGCTGGACAACCTCCAGAGCTCCAGAAAACTGTTACACTTGTGGTTATGTTTATCACAGGGTCAGGGGACACAGCAGAATCTGCCAGGCAGAGTACAGGGAAGTCTAGATACTCAAACACAAAGCTGCTGTTGTAGTTCCTGGCTAGGTGTATTGCTGTAACCAGCCTCCCTTGGAGACCCAGAAATACTCCACAGGGTACCTGCCAGCCTAAGGCTAGGTATGTTCTGCCAGCTACCTTTGGTCATGACAGAGCCAGAATCCAGCAATGAGCCCCTATCTTTTGACTCTTCTGTTGTTGCTATTGTTTTGTTTTCCTGAGAGAGGAGTCCAATGCTGGCAATGTGCTTAGAGTGTTACCAACCAAGCAAACTCACCTGCACATCCATATCCAGAATTTTGACTGGGACCTCACCATTAGCCTTGACTGAAAGATGTCAATATGACCACATGACCAAAATAACTAACTGGGGGGTCCATCCCTGGGATAAGAGAACTCACCCTCTCTCAGCAGTCACTAGTTGCCTGTAGCTCTTTGTCCAGGGTGGGGATGACTCCTAAGACGTCCCCACTTCCTCACTGGCATGCCGATCAACACTGCCGTTGCCCAGGTCTTGTTTATGCAATCCTTCCTATGCTAGACTGTTTCACAGCACACTTCCTGGTATTATGCCTCTTATAATCTTCCTGCCCCCTCTCTCATGATGCTCCCTGGTGTTGCAGGAGCTGTGATGTACATGTATCAATTGGGATGGGCTCCCCATGGTATTGATCTCTACATTGTGTCCAGTGTAGTTTTCTGTGGTGGCCTCCATTTGCCGTAAAGAGAAGCTTATTGTCTGCTTACCCACAAGGAATAAGAACCCCTGCGACTTTGTCTGTGTTTAGAACAGACTGCAGAAAGGAACATAATCTTTTTGACTCTGGGAAAGGCTGAGGATTATAACCCTACCTGGATAGACTTCCATTACAGGACAGTATGCATCTCTTTGGGCTCATTCAAGGTCTTATTTGCCCAGTAATAATTCACAGCTCCTCAAAGCCTCTGTCCCTCCCTTCCCTCCCAGGGGCTAGTGGGCAACCACATCCCTGGGCCTGGCTCCCACACTGACGGGTTGATGCTCTCCCCTGTGCACTGTCCTTACTTTTTGTCAGTTTATTCCACTGGAAAGTCAGAGAACAGAGAGGAAACATCCGTGGTCCCTATGGTCCTTTCACTTTCTACAGCCAGAAAATGGTCTTCACTCGTCCTGGCATCTAATATAATTAACCTAAGAAAATAATAAAATACTCAGTGTCTAAATATATTACGTTCTGGGGCATCAGGTCAGATCCCAGAATCGAATAATGAAATTTTGGGGAAATTTGATGACATGTATAAGGAGTTGCAGTTTAGCTATCAGTCTACCAAGAATGATTCCTTGTTTTGGTTGCCAAATGAAGGTATTGATAGCTGGATACACTCCTTGTCTTTGACAGCAAACATCCCTCCTCCCTCCAGATTCCTGATGGCTTGCTTCTCTTCTTAGGTATTTTGAAATCCAGGTATGATTTGTATTGTCCTCAAATTTCACCATTTGAATTATATAAAAAGTAAAAGAAACATGGTCGGATTCTAGACCCAATTACAGAAGGTGTGCAGCGGTGAGCATGGGCACTTACTCTTAAATTCAAGAACAATTTTAAAAAATCCTACATGACTTCTTAGTTTCAATGAGTCCTAAACTGCCCTGCCTTACACACAGCCTGCAGGTTCTTTTCTGAAGACAGGACAGAAATGTGTATGGGTAGTGGTTCCATGAATCTGGCCTACAGAAGCCGCAGGCACAAGCTGGGCTGTGCTAGCGCTGTACATACTTCCAGTTTAGAAAGAGCTGCAAGACCCATCTAGGCTGACTGAGAAGGTTAGCATCTAGCTTTGGCACAAGATTAAATGAGACAATAAAAAACAGTCAGCATATATTTTAAGACAATGTTTTTTGAAACATTTAAGAATCTTGGAAAACCTTGGGACCTTGGGAGCTCAGAAGGAGGGAGAACATAAGCAAAGAATTCGGGACCACGAGGCGTGCATCCACCCACTGAGACAGTAGAGCTGATCTACGGGGAGCTCACCAAGGCCAGCTGGACTGTGACCGAAAAAGCATGGGATAAAACCGGACTCTCTGAACATGGCGAACAATGAGGGCTGATGAGACACCAAGGACAATGGCAGGGGGTTTTGATCCTACTTAATGTGCTGGCTTTGTGGGAGCCTAGCCAGTTTGGATGTTCACCTTCCTAGATATGGACGGAGGAGGGAGGGAACCCGGACTGCTCTGTGGACTGGAGAGGGAGGGGGAGAGGAGTGGGGGGAGGGGGAGAAGGGTGGGAGGAGGGGGAGAAGGGTGGGAGGAGGGGGAGAAGGATGGGAGGAGGGGGAGAAGGGTGGGAGGAGGGGAAGGGAAATGGGAGGCTGGGAGGAGGTGGAAACTTGTTTTTTGTTTATGTTTTTTTTTTCTTCTTTTCGCAATAAAAAAAAATCTTGGAAAACAAAAGAAAAAACTAGTAAAAATTGTCTTAAAATGGACTAGGAAGAGCAGAAGCTCATCAGGGGCTACGTTCCTGTTGCCACTACCCAGACACATGTTACTGCCTCATTCTTGGTTGCTGTAAACTATTAATTAGCTTCTTCTGATGTTAAAAATAAAACTTCACTTCATACTCATCATGATGTCTATAACAAAGCAACAAGGACAATAGCATGTTGACAAGAATGAAGAGACTAGAACTCTCACGCATTGCCAGCTGGAATGTAAAATGATGTTGCTACTGTATGACAGCTTAGAGTATCGTCAAAGGTTGAACACAGAATCGCCAAGTGACCCACACGATCTACTGCTGGGGATGGAACAGCTGAAACAGGAACTCAGATAGATGCCTACACATCAGTGTTGACTACAAAGCTAGAGAAGCTCCGAAAGTCTAGAAACAAATGACAGACAAACCAGTCATTCCCAAAGTGGAATATTAATGAGTCTTAGAAGAGAATGAAATTCTGAAAATATTGTGCTTGCTGAAACAAGCTGGACATCAAGCACCAAATATACAAGGTCTTAGGTGTCTGACTCATTTCATTTAGCACGATGCAAATTCATAAAAAAACAGTGAAATAAAGGTGATCAGGAGCTGAGAGTGGCAGGGGATAATGAGAGAGTCCAAGACAAGATTAATAACACTACTGAATCACACACTTCCAAATGACTGCAAAGGTAAATTCCATGACATATTCTTTTTATCATAATAAAAAGAACATAAACAATACTTCATGAAATTTAGAAACAAAGAACAAAACAAATCAATTCATTTTATTACTCAGAGATAGCTGCCATTACATTTTGGTCCAAGACTTTCCTCATGACATTTTCTTGAAATAACTTCACAATATTTATTTGGTAGGGTTTATTAAAATAATTGTTTTTCTCTGTGTATTTTTCTTTCCCCACATGAAGGCAGCCAGGCTGTTATGCTCCCTTGCCTCATATAAACAGACAAAGAATAATTGTCTAGAAAGTACTCTCCTGTCTCTTAGCTCTCTCTTGCCTCAGCGATCACTGAAGAGATTAAGCTAAGTGGCTTCCAGAGCAGTAAGACAGAAGGAACTTCACAGGCAGAAATGGGGACGTGGGTCTCCTCTCACAGAAGTATTGGTTGTCTGATGGCTGGAGTCACCACTCTCTGCCTCAGCTGCTGTATTCCTGCACTTAGAGGCTAAACCTCAGAGGCACTGGTAGAAGCATGAGTCTGGGGAAGTACTGAGTGCACTCCTCGGCAAGTATTTTTCTT